GATTGAACTTTGACTAATTCAAAGTAAATTTAAAAGAAGTTAAAAAAAGAAATACAAAGAAGTTCCAAATTAATCTTAAGAAAAATAAAAATCTTAAAGAAATATAAAAATAAACCTTTAAATAAATAATAATAATCTTTTTAAAAATACTAAAAATAAAAATCTTTAAAAATTTAATAAATAATTTTAAATAAATATTAAAAATAGAATCCTTAATATAATCTTAATTTAAATCCTAATTGAATCTTAATCAAATCTTAAATCAAATCCTAATTAAAACTTTAATTGAACCTTAATCAAATCTTAAATCAAATCTTAATAAAATTCTAATAAAATCTTAAATCCTAGATAAATCCTAGACAAGTTCTAAACCAAATCCTAAGCAAGTCCTATACCAAATTCAAAACCAAATCTTAATCAAATCCTAGACCTTAAACAAATCCTTAACAAACCCTGTGGCAAATAGAGCCTCAACAAGTAAAAATCAAACTATTGATATCAATTCTAAATTTTCACACTTCTTAATTTTTTAGTTAGAAACAAGAAAATGAAAGATGAAATCAATTGCACTTACTAATTGAGTGAAATGCAAGATAATTCAATTGGATATTAAGCAGCTTCCTACTCCTATTTGAATGTTGAACTTCTAGTGCCAATATCTCCTTCTTGAATCATTGAATTGCTTCCAAATTTCACTTAAAATATTGAAAATTAAGTGTAGTATCTATATAATAAAATTTTACTTCAATCCAATTGACAGATGACTAAAGATCATGAAAATACTCATTAACCCTCAAACTCTAATTTCTGAGACATCAAAGCCATAAAATCCTTCACACATTTTGATCTAATTATTTGATTGATCTCAAAAAATTTACACACATTAATAACAAACACAACAATAATTTACAAAAAATTCACCTATACACATGTCACAAAACTCAAGAAATCTACAAATTTGTAAACATATTTTTATTTCTCAAAATCTAAACCAACCAAGATCACTTTTAATTTTGAAAATCTTTGAAAAACTTATTATTGATTCAATTGATAGAAAATCAATGCTCAAATTTTTTTTTCTTAAGTTTGCTCTCAAATCCTACTCTCTGATCTACCAAAGAATCCTAAAGTCACTATAGGTGCATGGTTTTGTATCTTAGAGTGTGATTTCAAGTCTAGTTGACAACTTGTCTTCTTTGGACATCAATTCTCAGCTTCTTGAAGTAGATTTTATTAAAATCTATTCTTAATTCTTTCTTATACATGTCTATATTATTTTTTATTTCATTTCTATCTTAAGAATATTGACAAATTCATGAAGCTTTATAATAGTTACAAATCTATTCTCACTTCTGACAAGTGTAAGATCCTTAGGTTTTTCTTCCATTTCTTTAATAAAAAATTTAAACAAATTCAAAAGTTAAATTCAAAGAGAATAATTTTTAACCTTTTATATTAAGTAAAATTTTCTATAAATAGAAACAATTTATTTTTTTAAGAAAAAAATCATGTTTGAAGATAGAAAGTATTAGTTTAAAAGTAGGTAGTCTACAACCTTTAAAACAAAACTAAAGAATCAAATAATCGATTCACTTCTAAAAACAAAATAAAAAGAATGAATTAGAACTTTTGTCAAACTTTCAAGGATATAAATTACAAATAATAAAATCCTCAATATACTTTTATGTCATTAAAAAAGAATAGATATCCACTCAAAAGTAGTATAGTATTAAAATTAGAATGACTATTACAAAAGACAAGAAGACTTGAGACTCTTACAATAAGACTAAGAATAAAAAAAGTATTGCCAAGAGTGAAGAAGGTTTCATTCTTGCTTCCATATATACTATTTAACTAAAAGCTATAAGATAATGTTTTATATGACCTCTTACACATGTCCAGCCTATGAGACATGTATCTAACTTGTAAGACAAGTTTTCTACATGCATGCCACATAACAAACTTGTATCACAAGCCACCAACATCTGCAACACATTATTAACTTGTTTGCCAAATTTTCAATCTATCAATCAACTATAAATATGTCTAAAATCAAATTCACATTTATGAAGCTTCTATAAAGCTTTTGAATAAGAAATTATCAAATCTACCTTTATTTATTTTTACCTAACACTTCTTATTTAAGTAATTATATATGTCCATGATAATATCTATGCTTTGAGTACCATATAAATGATTTAGCTTGTAACTAATATGTTCCTAATAAAGTCTTCACCTCTAGTTTGTATAGATTGTATGCTTGACAAACATTATAAATCAATGTTTCAATTGAACTCGGCACCTATGCTACCAAAGTTTTAGCATTAATTTCTTTTTAATATTCTATTTATTTTTTAATATTATAATTTTTTTACGATTTTTACATGCATTAAAAAAATAAAACATAAATAATCTTTATAAAAACATCTCCTAAAAAATAAAATATAAAAATATTTTATCTATAAACGCTTCTTTTAAATAAAAAAATGTAAATACTTCTATATAAGATTTTTTTAATCTTTATTATTATAATTTTTAAAAATCTAATTTAAAAAGATATTGTAATTAATTATACATCTTCTTAAAAGAAGTTACAATAAATTAAATACTACAATTTTTTTCTTTACTCCTTTTTATTATGCTGTCCAATATTTATAAATAATTTGAATTAAATTTTTTAATTATTGATGAAATAATTTTATAAAATATTTAAAAATAAATAAGATAGAAAAATAAATCTATAAATTTATACTCACATATACAAGTATATATATATATATATATATATATATATATATATATATATATATATATATATATATATATATAATTTTAAAATCAGAAATTATATCAAAAATCTAAGATAAATAAAATATTTATAATTTATAGTATATTACTAATTATTTTTATTAATAAGACTAATAAAGATTTATCTACTCAAAACAATGACTTCATAAATTCAATGGAGAAAAAACATGCAAACATGTTAATACAATATTTATCATATATGTTGTAAAAAAAATCAAATAAAACTATTAACAAATAATTTTTTATTATAAAAAATTCTTTTAACTTTATCTATATATATATATATATATATATAGATAAGAATTATTACAACCTTGTTTAAATTTATTCAGTACAATATTTTTGAAAAATAAAAATATATAATTTAAATAATGATTCATTATCATAAATAGATTTAGACATGCAATAAAAAGATGTGAGAAAAAAATTAAAAATAAAACTAATATTTAAAATTTTAAAATAACTTTAATTATACCAAAGATTATCATAAAATAAAATTTTAATAATGTGATAGTTTGAACTAATCCTATGATACTATATCTTATTATTTTAATACAACACTTTTTAAACTTATATTAAGTGAAGAAAGAAGAGAGAGACTTATGAATGAAAGCCATAACAACATCCAAATAGGGAATGGTTTGAGCAATTGGTCTACTTCCTTCCTGCTCTATTTGCATAGATAATAAGCTCTCAAACACAAATCTGTGTTTAAGCTCTCTAATCTTATATATGATCTAATAAAAAATTCTCTTTTAATTTTTTTTTTTTTTTTGGCTTAGATAATAAAGGCTTATTTGTACAAGCCTAAGGTGAAATATTTTGAGTTTTTATGCATACATGTATTGAGAGATATTTATTGATATTTTTGATAAATAATATAATTTTTAAAAAACATTAAAACTGTTTTAATTTTAAATTTTTTCCAATATTATACTTGATTTATGTTGGTTATATGCAATATATATTTTGAATCAAAAAAATACCTTTTTTGTAATATATATATATATATATATATATATTTATATTTATATTTATTTATTTATTTAAAAAATTAAATCATAATTGATACTTGATCCCAATTTTTACAGTATACATTTTGTCAATTGCGTGTTAAAAAAATGTTGATAAAAATATGAATAATCTTTTTAAAATCCTACATTTTCTCATATTAAAAAATCTTAGAAATCATACTAACATGAAAGAAATCACTATCGTAAAGGCATTATTGTTTTGATGATTTTGTTTCAAAATTGGTCACTTGGGGGAGAGCAAATAAACATGTATGTACACATACAGAGAATTGAGAAAAGTCTGACCTGATGAAATGAGAATCAGAAGCAGCTGCAATGCCAATTGGCATACAACTGAGACTTCCACGACACCTGTGTCGCGTCTCGGAGTTTGAGATCTTTTGGGTTCGAGCAGAAGCGTCACATTGACACCTGCGACGTATCTACAATTTCCTCCACAATTTCCCTACTCTCACCGCAATCACCGAAGACAAGGCCATCTGTCACGGCTGCGATTTATAAGTTCGTCACCGTCGTCCCTTTCTAGTAAACCCATCTGCTCTGTCGAATACACCGACTTTGTTAAGTGTTTGGAAGTGAGGAACTTTACTCAAAGTCTCTTTGTTGGTGACGACGCCGCTGGTTCGTGAGGCCTGAAGAATTGCTTGAATTCAATTTCGCAAGGGGCATTGCTTTGGGCTTGGAGGGTGGACTTGTTTGAAGCCAGGGGAAGACGAAACCGGTTGAAGCTTTTCTCTAAGCGAAGGAATCACGGGATGGCGGACAAATTGAAACAGGTCTTTAAAGGTCATCATGAGGAGACGAATCCCGCAGCTGGGTCAGCTCCTGCTGGCGACCAGCCGCATCCCGCTAATCCCACGGGAGAGACTGTCGCTCTTACCGATGAGCAGGGGAACTTGAAGCCCGGCCCGCACCAGAACGCCCTCAAGAGGGAAGGAGTCTTCTCGAAGATCAAAGATAAACTTCACAAGTAAACGGGTTAGTAAGCCAATTGTGTTCTAAAAACCATCTCATTGGAGATGCCAAAGTAGGTGATAGGCCTTATCTGGGACTTCGTGTATAGGATCTTATTTTTCAGGATCACACCGATGTTTAACCCCAAGAATAGATGAAGATATTGTTTTAATAGATTAGTGCAAGGTGTATGCAGTCGGTGTGAGATGTGAAGACTGTTATTTTATTTATTTATTTGAAGCTTTCCAAGATTGCAAATTTCGAAAGTTACAAATAGTGTCAACGTAATTTGCAACTTATCAATGAAGGACAGGTTAATGACACTGGTTCTATGTTTGTGTAGCTATATGATTGGATCACTATCAGACATTGATTAGCTGGAGGTTTTTAAATCAACAGTTTGGGGTGTTAGAAAACTGAGTTTTCAAGAATATTACACAAACTCTTGGTCTTCATGGTCGTAGAACAGGAACCCCTCGTCCGCTTCGGTAAGTTCAGGTTCAAGTGTGAAGTGCTCAATGGTTTTTCCTGTTCGAGTTCGCTTCGTGCACCCATCATGTTGCTGGATAATGTCAAACATCCTTGAACGCATAAAACTTTCGACCTCATCCAAACTATGGATTGGCAGTTGCAGGATCGATGCACATTCCTGTCGAAATGTGTCATTTGTGGATGAGGTGATCATATTGGCGATGCACTCAGCGACATCAGTCGCAATACGCCGCATCTGAACAAATCCGAAGGAAACATTAGTATTTGAACACAAATTCCATTAGTAAACAAGACAGCAATTTGAACGTAAATTGACATGGTACTTAAAGCGCATTTCACCTATACTCGTCCTGAGAAAAATTCTTTAGCGTCTACAACTGAAATGACTCGAAGGTGTTGAAACAGCAAACCAGGACCAAGTCTTGGAATTTCATTCATTTTTCAGAGGAATATACGCATATTAAATATTCTAAGTTGTATTCTATTCTAATCTCTTTGTCTGCCTGTCAAAAAGACCATGAACAGAATCACGAAGATGTACTTGCGTTGCATTTTCACTCTGAAAATGCTCAGGGTATTTGGCTTTCAGTTCATTCATGCAGGCCTCCGCTGCAACCTTCACCATTCTTCCCCCGACTGGTGAGTGTGATCTTCGTAAAATTCGTAGCTCAGAGTCAAGGAAAACTAACTATTACAGAAAATAGTAATAGATAACAGATGCAAACCAGGATAAGGTCCAATAACCGTTATTACGATTATAAGGTTGTGCTCAAGATTTCTAAGCAATAAAAATCATTAATAAGATTATAACATTCACAACATTAAGCACTTCGAAGATTTGCTGAGGAATAAACATGACATCGTCCTATTCATCATCTCATTTCAAAGAGAGGATAAATTAGAGCATTGGTAGATGAGGATCTTATAATATTGGATATCTAAATTCTGATGGAGGTGCAAGACCATAAACATTGCTGAAATTCTTCTTGGTTCATCGAACTGTATGATTGCTTCTCCTGAGTCAGCTACCTGAAATTCCTTGACTTGCAGACCAAACTTGGTCCACTCCACTCTGCCCAAGCCTTTAAGAACTGATTCAGGAGTCGGTGTGTAGCAGCCATCTTCGAAGTATATAACCTGTAATGATTATACCCAATCTGGTTGGACTTGATTAATGCACATGACATATTAATAGGAGTCATTGAAGCAGTTGTCACATCATAGAGAGGCTGGACCTCCTAAGTATTGAGGAAAATTAGATCAAAACACCCTGTGTTTCAGCAGCATGAATTCACTGTAACATGATTGATAAACATGACAGAAAACGCAAAAAATGTCTTCGTTACGCCGTAACAAATAACATCTATGCATCTTAGCGCCAAGTCTGATCAAACAAAAGAATAAATGAGACAGGTCTGAGAAAAGGTCCCAAATCTCATGCAAAGATTCTTGGACCGTTCACGATGTTCACCCAGCTACATGCGACCAGAGAAATTCTCGACAAAGATTTTCATGACAGCGAATAATCTTACCACTGATGTTCGAGAATCAATAGTATCAAATATTTCATCAGCCATAGTGACATCAATGAGGGCAATGCAAGCGTCAAGTCTCCATTTTGCATCCGTCGATCCAGCGTGACCTACTCCAACTTGCACAGTCTCTCTGCAGAAGCCACAGTATTCATTTCCAATTACTGTTGATTGGAAATCTTCTTAGAACCTATCCATCGAACCATTCGACTCAAATTTGACTCATCAACATATAAAAATCACTCGAGGTACTAATGATTTCAAAGACTCCCATAAATAGAGTTAACGGAGAGGCAAAAGATACCGAAAACGCAGGTCTGCAGGGGATCCTTCAGGAAATCCACATCTACAGCAACTTAGATACTGAATAGCTCCAAAGCAGAGCATCTCCTCTGCTGAAAAAATTTCCAACGATGTATTGCCATCACACATACGAAGTCCTTTCACATGGTGCCCAATGTCATCTATAAATGTGCTTTGTAGGAAAAAGTCAAGGGTTACGTTCTGCACATCCACAGAGCGCTTTCCACTGAGCACTTGAACCTTGGCTCCAAAAATTAATGTTAACGCATTTTGCTGCAGACGTGGAAGTTTCACAAGTTGGAAGTGGCAGCAGTCCTACCTTCAGCATAAGCATGGGTGTCTGAAAAAATCCAGTGGATAAGTCAATGCCTTCTCGGTCATTCAACGACTCATCACAGTCTGATCAATAGAAAGGATACAATGTCGCCGTAGCAACTCATTAAACCTGAAATTAGTTTTAAAACGTCATGCAACACACTCAACTCCTGTTAACTTGATACTCAGACTCAACATGCTATGGGAAGCTTGTGAAGCTACCTTATCGCAGATAGATCTAGCAAAATCGACCAATTCATGAACGCAGCCCGTAACAATTATCTCGCTCACAACTCCGCTGCAAAAAGGTTATACATCCAGGTGAGAGATCATCTTAAATGGAAATAAAGAGACAGTAAGATTGAGGCCTAAAAATCAGACAAGCAATTCAACATGTCAACGAACCTAACAAACTCCGTGTCAACTTCTGCATGCGGAAGCTGAACAATTTCAGATCCGTTGTCTGATCGCACCAGTATCTCGTAATGACACAAAGATTTCTCTCCAGTGTCTGTCATCACGTCCAGAGGATGTGAGTTTCATGCATCTTGGCTCAGCGCTGTTTACAGTATAGCAACCTTATTCGCCTGAGTTTCAACGAACGGCAAGCATGATACTCAGATTTTTACTCTCTAAACTTGCACACATCTAGGAACTACAAAGAGATCTGGAATGAGGTATTGATTTTGATTTGCAAAAATTTTCAAGCCAATTCCCTGCTGTAGGCATAGAAAAGGTTATACCTGCCGTTAGTATTCGCACAACACCACCTGTGCAGCAGATTTAATTGCAGTTAGTAATAAAGGGACCAGAGTATGCTCTCTTCATAATTGATACTGGACTTGACGCCAATTTGGATTCATGTCCACAACATTAATTGAGAAAGAAAGGTACTCTTGCTAAACAGGTCTTTATGATACAAGAGTGAAGCGATGATTTCTGGTGACGAAAAAACTACAGTAATTATCTCACCCCATCGAAGACCACATTGAGTGGATGGAGTAGAATAGCATGACTTGGTAAACTGAGGGAAACAATTGCGAAACTCAGAAGCCTTAATACCGGGTCCAGAATGGGCCACTGCACAGAATGCAGCATGGACAGCATTAGTAATCACCAAATGCGTGCACGAGCATTGCGTCCACGATGGAAAATATTCCAAGCTTGCAAAGCAAATCTTCAAAGTAGAATAAAATTACCCGAGAATATAAAGATCGGAGACAAAGACAGCGTAGTGGGAGGCAATGTCCAAATCCTCACAGCAATTTGAGTCGCATCGCTCTGTCTCGAGCACCTATATAGAGCATCTGCAATCAACTGCAGAAAGAGAATCTAAGTAACATATTTCGGTTATCTTGCAATATCTTTGCGGAAGTTGCGGCTAGAGCAATTTTGACAAGCAGGAAGCCGGTTGGAGAGGCTGGACTAGCACAAGTTTGAAAAAACTACGTCTCAATTTCATTTTTCACCGCTAACATGCCATCAGCTCAGAATGGAGGAAAGTGTCCACAGATTGTAACATACTCCATGAATAGCGACACATGCATCCTCTCTAAAATGTGGCACAAGGTCTTCCTCTAAATCCATGGGAGGTAAACCACATGAAACTCTTCAAGTCAAAATTAATCTTCCAGCCCCCCTGCGCTTCAGGCTTTAGATCTGCTGAGGAACGAATGGAACATTAGAACTCAATTGAATGTCAATAGCTATCTAATTCTTTCCTAAATCTCCAGCAATCGAGCTACTAAAATGCTCAAATCATGTTATAAGCCCAATCATAAATTACATTGCCCCGTCTCCTTAGAAATACATAGTCTGCGGCTGCATCGCTTCAGCACAGCAAGAGGTCAAATCCACAATTGACACAAAGTAAAATGTAGTCCATACATAATAAGCAAAACCGCACCAATGTATGAGATCCCAAGAATGCATTCCAACAAGTTGCTGCAAAGCACCACACAAACTAAGCATGCCAATAAATGGCCCGAAGGATAGCTGAGGCACCCTGTTTACTAAAAAAGTGAAACTACCAATGGTTTTGAAGGGCTCTCCCTCAAGAAGGAAATCTTCCCAGTGTTTAAAAATGGGCGTCACGCAGATTATAACCTGTTATATACCCGTCTTCATCATCCGGGTATCAGTTTTTGGTACCAGGGGCATGCTCATCCCTTGACGGGTCGAATTCCGCATGAGCTTGAGACACTAAGGCATGAGTTGGCGAACGTGAGCACGACATGGCGGAGGAGGACGCACGCATTTCGGTTGTCAGCACGGCGGTGGATTAAGCGGGAGAGTCATGTGGATAATAGATAGGAGTGGCGGAAGAATCTCGCGACTGTGCTTGAGTCGACATGGACTCATGCCGTGATCGTGGCTCTCTTGGCGTTGGATCTGACGGCAGTGGCCATTGATATTTTGAAGACGATTCATATTAAGAGTGAGGATTTGAATGATTGCATTGCTATGGTGGAGTCTTGCACCAGCTGCGGCAGCTATTTCGAGCGTAGGGAGGAGTGGAAGTGGACGTACTGGACAAGTGTTGCGATACTGTCGCTGTTATTGTTGAATGTTTTTGGGCTTATTGTGGCGTTTGGAATGGCCTTTTTCTTGCATCCGTTGTACGTGTTGGACTTGATCGTTGTGTGTACTGCCCCAGTGTTGGAGCTAACACTACATACGGACACTGCGGGGGTGATTATCATGCTTACTTTATGGCGAATTGTGCGGGTGGCTCATGGAATTTTCGAGGTCACGGACGAGGCGTGGGAGAAAGATATTCATCGATTAGAAACTCAGGTTCAGGCTGTTCAGTCTGCTTGTGACGAAGAACAAGTTCTTCTTCAGGAGAGAGATCAACAAATTGCTGAGTTGGAAGCACGTCTGAGGGAGCTAACTGTAATCGAGACATGAACAATAGGTGTGTTGAAGTGTGTATCGTTGCGAGGGCTTGCAATTTCCTCCTCCGCCCGACATTATCTAATGAATTTTATTGGGCTGAGCCGCAACAAGCCTTGCTCATGGATATTCTTGTATTTTTGGAAGTGCAGGTCTTTGTTTTACGACGCAAGCAGAATCAGAAGTCTTTCACGGAACAATTAGAGCATGCTACGTATAGTGGATCAAAAATGGAGTTGCGCGGGCTCTGTGTGCGATGTTGACGCCATGCTTCAAAGTCGCAAAGGAGGATTCCCAATCTGAAATGGATGGTTTCAGTGGGATTATTTCGCAAGGAGCTGGAGGATTGGACTTTCAGTTATCATGCCTTGATTCTTAGGAGGCACCTCACCCATTACATACATTATTTTATTACCAGATTTTATGTTGCAATCTACAGGCCTAAAATTGTAGAACCTAGGAAGCTCGTTCATGTAATATAATAATGATTATACTGTCTGGATTGATGCCACGGTTTGTAAAAATAGCTCAAGAGAAATTTCTCATTATACAGAAAGAATTTGTGCGATTCCTTTGTGCACAGAAAATTTCAAGTCAGAATTAAGTGTTTCATCGTGCACTCACACCGCGGGAAGATTTCATTTTGAAAGGAATGTTAAGAACACTCACATCTGTACACCGCAGTGATAAAAACTTCGGTGTTTGAGGGACGGATGTGTGCATGGAGCGCTATGGTAGCATCATTGAAGTTATGGACGAACTGTTTCCTTTGAGTTCGTTCAGCATCACTTGCTTGGTCCATCGTCGGAGGAACTTGTCATCTGTAGCAAGAAGCCGCGTCACTCCATCAGTCCTATCATATTGGCGTTGATCCATACATTGGTTACTTTGATCTTGTGCTGCAAACCTCCAAACGTCCCCCCCCCCCCCAAGCGTAAGAGCCCAGAGATTTTCTACGTTCAAAATCGCACTGAACACCCAGGGGTTGCAGGTTACCTCTTCTGCCTCTTGGCAGATCATCTGGATCCCTTGCATGTCGCTTGCATACTGATCGAAAGCTTGTAGTCTGAACAGGGGCACTCCGCTTACGAAGCATAATGGAATAAATTTACCATCCACGAAGTGGATGATGTTAAATCACCTTCATCAATATGGACTGTCGAATTTAGGGTTTCGGGTGCGTCGGTCCACCTGAAAACACCGCAGCCGTAAAACTACTTGCTCTTTCCCTCGTGATCGAGACATCGCGCATCTTGAGTCGTCTCTGCTTCCGCTTGTTCGCTTTCTACCCGCCACCATGAGTACGTTCGCTATTCTATCGTTAAGAGCGTAGGATCTGAACATATCCGCTTCTATAGCGAATCCTCAAAGTGAAGGCGTTGTAGGGTTGTAGAGTTTGTTTAGACATCGAAATTCTTATAGTTTTCTGTTTTTTTTTTTTTTTTTTTTTTTTTTTTTTGATGTTGTGCTGTTTTTGGTTTGTGGTACCGGGCAGGTAAGGTTCATGGATCCTTGGCCCGTGCCGGTAAGGTGCGTGGTCAGACGCCCAAGGTTGCCAAGCAGGACAAGAAGAAGAAGCCAAAGGGTCGTGCCCACAAGAGGATGCAGTACAACCGCCGGTTTGTGACTGCAGGTGCGTTGGCTTCTTTAAGGTTCTTTTGTAGCAATTAGTTTTTGGGATCACTTATCTGCCACGTAGTGTGTTATGTCGCTTCATAACCTTTAGGTTGGCGAATGTTTTGACGCAGTGGTTGGTTTCGGTAAGAAGAGGGGCCCCAACTCATCGGAGAAGTAGAGTAAGCTGACGGTTGCAAGTCGCCTTACCCATGTAAGTGCTATTTTGCTGATTTTCTGATCTGTCTTGTTCAAGCTGTTCCTGTATGATTGTTTTTTACTTGTAGCCCATCATTTAATTTTCGACGTTGGCGGCTACATGTTGGAATATAACGTGAGCACTGCCGATACGTGTACTCAATCTCTACGACTGGTATTTCTTCAGGTTTACTAATTCATGTTTGCGATACTTAACGACTTCTTTGTTTCGTATTGGCCTCCGGATCTCAGGTTTCTTGCATTAGGGGACAAAGCCTGACTACATAATGACTTATTTGGTTTATTTTTATGAAAGTGCAGAGAGTCGGGGAGCCTGGTGATAACCCTAGCAACATGTTACTTCTTGGCGTTAGCAGCATTAAGTGATTGAACATGTAATTACCTGGCTATAACTGCCACTGAAATAATTTTGTACCATCACTTTGAGACAAGGTTCGGGAGTGAAACATTATGATGCAGTGTGATCTTCGTATATATCATCATTCACAAGAGAATAAAATTGATTTGCAGGTCTGTGTTGAATGAGTCTATATCGTTGTGTTACATGAATACATTCAATAAAGCATTACAGCTCTCTCGCGCTTGGTGCCTTAATTAATAGTGAATTATTGTATTTTTCACAGTGCAGACGAAAGAATCACACACATTCAAGTATATATATCTGATTGTGGTATAAGCATTTCAACTATGTGTCACTCAATGTTTCCAGAAGCTATTGGGCCCGTCGCTGTCCTCTCCTGACAGTAATTGTAATGGTTCGATATCAATCCTTCAAGATATATCAATGCTTTGATTTGCCCTTTTGAAGACTCAAGTAGTCCAGAGGAGAATACTTCAATTTCTTTTGTCCTAAAATTGAAATTGTTATAACCCGTTTACTTGCTTTCATCTTTGGCTGATGCTGTCTTAAGCAATCTGGAACTAAAAACTTAAGTATCAACTGCCAGTCTCCATTCGTTCTTCATTTCAATATAATCTCCCTACTCGGACGTTACTTAAAGCTGCATCATGGTCCTAAGAAAATCTTTTAAGAAAAGGACTCATCAATAGTGATCCAACTTAAATATTTTATTAAGATCCACTACAAAATAGATTCTTTTCTTAGCATGTTTGTTATATTATTTGATGCAGTCTATCAAATATGGGATTAAATTTACCAAATTTGATATGCTGGACAAAGAAGGTAGAAAAGGTGAAGGTATGAATAATCGCATCTTTTAATTATTATCTTGTTTAATCACTAATAATTATTTTTAAAATAAATAAAAATAGATCTATAGACAAAGCCAACCATATATTGGACAACCATGCCCCAAAGTGTACATTCTACATAACTTCGTGAAGTTGAGTACTTGGGACATATGCTACTCAAATGCAGGTTCTATTGCACACACAATTTTTACGCTAATAATGCAGTTGTTGCTACACCATTGGCAGATATATTCTTAAAACATCATTGTTTAATTTTATAATCTACAAACTTTATTGGACCATAGAATGTTTTTCAAATCACAATTTTCTTATGGCCGAATATTTTATTACTGATAACACATATTTTATTATTGATAACACGAATGTTACTGGTAATAATGCTCAACCACTTTTTCTTACACCAACTAAGTTTATCATATCTAATTAGACATGCCAAATTCATAAGCTCATATTTAATCTCTTATATACTCTTAATTAATAAGATTATATAAACATTTTTTCTACATTCACATCATGTTCTTTTATTGACTATTTTTGAAAAGCTATTGTACATTTTTTTTAATTATTTTTAGAGATTATACATCAAAGATTTGAATTAGTTAAAAAGAATGCTAAGAAAATAAGTCAAAGAAAAAATTTACTGAAGAATACATATACAAGATGAAGATGTATAGAGTATTATCAATTAATAGATAGGAGACTAGGATTTGAAGTTTTTCTTTGTAGTGATGTTTTATAATTCATTCCTTTGGATAATGTAAAATTTCAAAGAAAACATATTACAACAAATTAATATATCAAAAGAAAATTTCTTAAGCTAAAGTTTTTATGCATTTATAATTTTTTAAATTAATTTTTTTTATTAATATACTTAATTTTTCACATATTAAGAAATATTAAAAGCATTCTAACTAGTAAAATAAAAACATAATGTTTGATAAATTTAATTTAATTATTAAAAAAATAGTAAAATTTTATTATCCAAAAAAACCTTTGTACAAATTTTATGATTATTGTTCTTTAAAGAATATAAAAGTATGGCTCTATTGTCTAATAACAATCAATGGCATGTGTGCCATCCTAATTAATTATATAATTAATAATGAATTATTATCTTGTTTAAAAACAATGTAATTGTAGTTAAATTTAAAGATTAAAAAATAGTAAAAGATAAGCCACAATGTTGTTAACATTGGATTAATATTACCACCACTCACATTCATAAGTCTAATAATACATCAGTTATGTTAACTTTTATGCCAATAATGATTATAAAAATATGACATACTAATAATAATTATAAAGTATTTAAGAGCTTGATGTTTTAGTGCAATGCTAAACATTTTAGAGAACCAATGGAATTATTAAACTGAGAATTTGATAGACTGACCACAAATCTTGGTTTCATAAAGCATTTCGGTCTCCAAAAAATGCATCAACCAGAAAGCTTGAATGTTGAAGTTCATGGATTCTATTTGAGGACCTTAAAACAGAGTCAAGAACGCCGAACAGAAAAGTTTCTATCAACTCCTTCACTCAATCCGCTAAGAGATGGGAGAAGTGCTGTTGTCGATGTTCTATCCTTAAGTGCTAAGGGGAAGAGGGAGGAATTGAAATATCATAAGCCGATGGTGGAGATTCAGAGTTCATGCCCAGAATGAACCTTCTCTTGGTCTTGTATACGAGTAATGCAGGAGAGTGCACAGCACCGGGAGCATTGAAGTCAAGTCCAGTCCTATGACCACAATGATCCGTGCCTGCTGCACCACTCTCCTCTCTATCAACAACATGATCCAAATCCCCATTATTTGCAACCACTATTTCCATATCATTCGAGGGATTCTCGAAAGGAGTCGCCATGTCCTGATCCACTTCTGTGCTTCTGCACTGGAGTATGTTGAGTCTTCGTAGCGTGGATTCGAAGCTCGAATGACCCATCTGGCCATCGGCACCATTCAAGAATGTCTTCAACCCTGGGTCAAGCTGGTCGATCTTTCCCTGATTGCTCACCCTGTTTCCATAACTGGAATATATCTTTCCTCCTCGTGTAGGAGAATAAGTCCCGGCATTGTCACCTTCTGTACAAATATTCCCTTCAGTAAGGCATGTCCTCTGTTCATTTCCTGTGTCTTCATGCATATCCATCAGTTTGCTATCTGAAATGATCACCCCACCTTCAGCTGGTCTACATGATGCACGTTTGTCATTCCTTTGCCAGACCTTAGCTTTATCACGCCCTTTCCCTACTCCCTTTCCTCTACCCTCATCCAGAGATTTACTTGTAGTGGTTGAGGTACTTATCACCCTACTATCTACAAAGTTGTTTGGAGCTAAATCCATATTAGTAGACAAGTCTGCTATTTTAGCAGAGAGCTCGCGGCAATAGTTACAACTGTACACAGGTTGTTTCATCGCAGCCTTCCAACCCTTAACTCCAAAACCCTTCCGATGTTTGAAACAATTATAGCAATAGCTGCGTGAACACGTTTCACACTTGAGCAAAGTTTTGGTTGAGGGACACCAAACACAGCACCGTTCTCTTGAAAAATTCTCAGCCTTGTTAAGCTCCACAGAGGCTATGGTGCCCAGCACAACCTGTTGGTTATATTTTAAATTCTCTCGTTTTACCACCAGTTCACTCATGATACGCAGACGCTCCAGATGCTTCCTAAGATCCCAAGCCCTCTCCAGTATCTAACATAAATGAAGGTACAACATAAGAAACCACGAAACATCGTGCAAAAACCTGTATACACCACTCTACACAGCAAGCATGTGGCATGACTTTCAACATTCGCATCTAATGGTAGTTGTAGAGATCCCAGAGGAACTTGGTAAAACTTACAAGTTGAGGATCATCAACCAAGGTGTTTTAGATTATTGAGTTTCAGACGTGAACCTATTGAGAGAGATGTACCTTCTCAGAAGACATTGGGTGTAATTCTTGTGTTAATAGAACAATGGAAGGAGAGCCCATCTTCCCAGTAGAAACGTTTTCCTCAACAGTTGCATCCTTGTTGAAGATACCCTGGGATTTGAACCATTGCTCCTGCACAACCGATGGCTTCAGAGACTCTAGCTAGAACGCAGCACATAACTCCGTGAGGGAATGTTCAGACAAGATATATCTGCCTAATCCAAATTTGTTGAATTTCTTCTTTTAATAGTAAGCCTGACATGCATTTTAATTTTCTCAATTTAATGTTCCACGGTCACTCGCCAGCTGGATAGAGACTGCAAACTTACATGGCGAAGATCACAAAGCAGTGAAGCGTCATGCTCCGCTCGCTTGGCACGCCAATACACAAATGCTCCTCGCATGAAATGCGAAGGCGCCACACCTGATTTCATTGCCGCTTCAAGAGCAATAAGTTCTTTGACCTCCTTGGCAAACCTCTCTTCTGTTAAACTTCTTAAAATCTTTGAATCGTTGTCAAGAACAGCAGCATCACCAGCCATTTGATCTACTACAGCCATGTTCTCCTTCCTTTTCTCTGGCTGTTGATCCTCACTGTTTTCGCTTTCATGTTGGACAAAAGTGCGAAAGGATTCTGAATCTTGATCATGAGAAAGCTTCCCGAAGCTAAGTTTGCTATTTTCCAGCCTCTGTCCAGACTCAACCACAGGCCAAGTAGATTTTCCTGCCTGAGCTTCGAACTTATCTTTGGCGCCTACCGTTTCATTAGGAGATTTCTCCTGGCGGTCGATTGAGATCCCATCTTCTGATACTTGAGTACAAGCCTCATCCCATCCTCGTTTCAAAATGAGACGTATACCTTTGGGCCTACCTGCATCCTCGATACCCTTCCCATTATTGCTTGTAACATTATCCGTCAAGTAATTAACTTCTATGGCCGGATTATTGCCCCGACAAGTTGACTCAACAAAATTTTCATGTAGAGGTGATATGTTTTGCCAAGAAGAGTCTTCTTTCCTGTGGTCCATAGAGGAAGCTGCTGAAATGCTGCCCCTGGCTGTAACAGAGGGGATAGCCTCACTATTGGTGTTGCTGCTCACCATATGAATCACCTTCAACGGGGAGGTTATGTGCGCATGGCGGGGGCAAAAGGATCGGACACCTACCCCTTTCTGCTTCGGTTTGCGCGACTGAACAAAACGTGTGGCACCAAGGACTTCAAACAGCGAAGTTCCAAATTCACAAATTGCAGGAATTCAGATTTTTTCATCCAAAAACCATCAAACAATGAGCTCAACTGTCGATGAAATTGAGATTGGTAACAACAAAACAGCCAAAGAACAGTAACCACGTTGCGTGGAGGGATTTAAAATGCATCTAAGCCATAAACAACGTGATGTGAGTAACTTGCCTCAAATGATGCTCCCTGGCTAACTCCACAAGAGATGTGAAATGGAACTCTACAGTCCTTGACTGAACAGAGAGAACATATGCCCTTCTTCGCCCCACATAGACCACACCGATCTTGTCGTTCCTGAGCCCTTGCCACCACTGTCACAATACCATCGATAGGCTCCATTGCATCAGGATCGACGAAAAAGGTTTCTGGGGTGTAAAGAGCACAAGCGACATGGGCCCACTTCTGAGGAGATACAGTTTGTTTCAAAGCACCTCCTCTCTTTCGACATAAAACACAACTGCAGCACCAACAATATCCAGTTAAATCGCTCATTAAAGAGAATGAACGAAAACGAGCTTGAAGATGATAAGGTGGTGAAACGAACCAACGATCTTAAAAATTATATGAAAGTCTATCAAGACCATTAAAAATTCATTAAATCGAGCTGATCAACTCAATTCAAATGATAATAACATTTTATCCTTCAACGCGAACAACTAGCATGTCCACATAACATTATCTTCGCTGTATACACATTATAACATCACAAGGATATTATCCCAACACAGTTGTTCGCGATATATTTTACAAAACCACACTCAGCCGCTCACTCAGAAACACTAAAATCTAGAGCGAAATTCAAATAAGCTTCACGAAGATTTTGAACAATCCCACAAAACCTGTGAAATAAAAAATCAGAAAAAAAAAAAATTATATATATATATATAAACAAAAGCAATCTAAATGCACCACTCGAGACCAAAATACGTACCTGACGTTAGGCTTTGCCACTCCAACTGCCACCGCCTCACATATGCGGCAAAACCAGTTGGGAGGTGCAAAAATTCGTCCCTGATCATTACGAAATTTTTCACGAATACCATAGCACGATTGATGCACGTGCATAAAGCAATTTTTGCAAGTATACACCTGCCGGGCACATTATACGCAATAAGCCTTAGGAACAAAATGGGTAATCCAGTCACTTTTGCTGTCATTCTTGAAGAGCGATTCAACCAGCCATTCTATACAAATGTTGTTTTGGCCAACTCGAATCCAAAAATCACAAACGGAAAGGATGATGTTTGCTAACATGCTTGCAACTTACAAACGGCTCCATTAAATTGCAAGTCATTAAAAGCACATATTAGCACTCCTCTAACCAAAGCTAGTGCATATGAGCGATACCGACCATACTCGACCCTTGACAAATGTGTCATGGAGTACTTAATACTCCAGCTTACTCCTCTATGAAACCAATAAATTGTCCTGCATAAAGAGCAATACATAGAAGACACAGCACCCTTGCAGGTACTTCAGAGGACTAACGGATACCAGAAAGAGAAGCAGCCTTACCGGGTTATTCTTGTCATTTTCCCCCTCGTTACATACGCAACAGTCGTCAGTGGATTTCTGTGAAAGAGGCTCGAAGGACTTCTGTAATAAACGTTCACTTGGCCTTTTAATTACAGTATCTGCAACAGTTTTGCAGATGATCTTTTCATTTTTCGAAGTCCATGAGTGGAATCGAACTGCACTAGTTGGAGATGTAGATACCCCCCCAAGACAGTCATACCGGATTGATGAAGTTGAAATTTTCTGCCTCCCACCAGTCTGAGGATGATGTCCAGATCTCACTGTTGATGTGCTCAACGTGGGTGCATTCTCTAGAACTGGAACGCCTGAAGTAGCTGGGTTGATATCCGACGGAGAGGTGTTCGGTAAAGTACCACCAGACACAGGCTGTCCTAGATCATCTACGGTTGGAGTTGCTTCCAACTGAGCAGACCTCTCTAAGAGTTCAATGATCTCCTCGAATTTGTCCTCGGAAATTGGCTGATTTGAGCCAGCTGCAGCGAGCCGCTTATTCCACGAATGCAGCCATCTTTCATCCTCATCATCCATATCATAATCTGACTGCCGCGCAGTGCTCGATATCGCCACATTCTGTTAATCACCATGTAAGGATCTAGTTCACAACAGATGATAGAACAGTAGTACTCTGGTGCAGACCTAAATGACGGGAAACATATGATGCAAATCAGCAGAAAGAGACTGATTGCTTCAAAAGTACCTCATGAATACTTGATTTTAGTTTTTGTTGATTCTCAACTGCTTGCTGTCTGCCTTCATAGTCGGCGACAACTCGGAATGATGGTATGACTATGATAGGTTTCTTCATTTCCCGACCATTTCTGCGAGGCCTCTTCCATGTAGTTGGAGATGGTGCACCGTTCCCTTCATCCTGATGTAATAACCAACGCAAAAATGCACTACGATCTGTCTCCTCAAACCCCTAGGGAAATAGAACCATCAGAATCAATCACTCTTCTGTTGGTTTAGAAGTCAGCTCAAATAGAAGGATCACTTCCAAATAAGCAGATCTCGATTCTTCTTCATCCAACGCATATAACAATCCCCAACCATTGTTCTTGAAATGTTACTTTGCAATGTTGGTATCAAGTGAAAAGATGAGAATGGTAGCATCTCTTAATCTTGGACACCTTGTATCAAATGTCCGAGGTGACTTGTCTATGCTTTATCAATTCATTTTAGCAAGGACATTATGTAAGCTCTTATTTAGTATTATTCAGAGGAAAAGGTAGTCCAAAATAACATTGAACTTATCGCATGGTTGCACAAGCGAAAAACCATTCACCTCTTTGGTTCAGGGATGACTGGTACCTTCTCTAAAGGAAAAGCTTGGCTCATTCAGGGACAATACACAAATACTAGGAAAACTTATTAATGTTTTTAATGATTCCATGCCATTCCAACTTGTGAAAACATACAATCCACATGAGACTGCGTGAAACTATCATTCATTGGAACGAGTTCACTCTCACCTCGTCGCGACCTTCAATGAAGACGGGAACTGGATGATCAAGATCAATATGCTGATTTCGCCTGCAACGATTACCACCATCTCTCTGGATGTGCAAGCCCCTCTTTCGTTTAGATCCTGAAATACGAAAGTGGGAATTCCCTGTTCCTTGAAGAGCTTTCTCGAGATTGTGCGCACGTGGCCTCCTCTTCTTTTTCTGGGCACGGACCTGTAACCATATTTTTTTGCAGATATAGACCTTGAGGATACTGATCAAATTTCACAATAATTTTGACTGATAAAGCAGAAATGATTTAAGCAAAAGCAAGCAGCACAAAAGAGCAATTATATGGACTACCTCTGCACCCGCTAATTGATGATTCACGGCCACAATCAAAGGTGAAGCATATGGCTGTTCTTCATTATCTTCAAGGTCGTCAAGATGTCTAAAATGGTCATTATGCTGATTAGCATCTCTGTCCCCAAGATCGTCAAGATGTATTTCTTTAAATTTTTTTCCTTGTGACGATTGAACGCTTCTTCCCGTCTGCTGTCGAGTGGCCCCAGATTCTGCTCCAGTGACCTGTACAGATTCCAGAGAACCTGACATGGTGGGGTCGCTATCCTGTAAAAAGACTTGCCTTTGTCTCGAAGAAATTGCACCAGGATCTGTACTTACAAGCTGGTCAGCTAGAACACCAGAGTTACCCGATTCTGTCACATCATTAACAATCTTCCCAACATGAGCTTCATGTGATCTTTCGACCTCATATAGTGCGCAAAGTTTTTCAGAAACTGGCTCTAACAGAGAAAATTCTTGAGAATCAGAACCAATTCTTGTGAAACCTAAACCTTGCTCAACAACTTTGCTATCTGAGAACGGCAGAATCCCTACATTAAGAGGCGTAAAAGAAGAGGACTTCTTCACCAAAGCGTACATATTAAGGTAGTCTTTGTCCTTTTCAGTATGTAAAATTTTATCTTTGGATACGTTCAATTCTTCTTCCAATGTAATGTAATGGAAGTTAATATCCGCCCCGGATTGTGATGCCACATTTCCTGCTGAAGAAGGCGTTTGAATCTCACGTTCCCTGTCATCTTCCTGCTCTTCAAGCAATGCCTCCACGTTTTCTGTCTGCTTCAGACCCGCTTCCAAGGAACATTCAACTACTGTGCCAATGTCTACAAGATCAGCCCTACCTCCAACATGAAACGTTGCACTTTCTACAAATCCTGGTACAAACTGTCTCTCTCGGTCTACACCCTGTCCGTCCGAATGCAGAAACAAAGGAAAATCCACTACTGCAATAATAGCATTCAATGAGTGGGTATTATTCTCTTTAAAGCGTAAGATCTCATCATTAGGGAGGTCTGCTGGCTTTTCAACCACAGGGCCTTGCACAGAAGCGTGTACTCCCATTGATGTCCTAAATCTCGAGGCATCTAAATAATCAGTTCCATACTTTCTTAAGACACTACTGGTTCTACGTTTAATCTGATTACCACAGACGTTGTCCCTTGATACCTCAACAGAATCTTCGTTTGTGTACCCACTTTGATTCAGACCCGCTTGACAGAAAGACTCAAATAATGTCTCTTCACTCACAGAATTGAATTGACCTGGAGCACGTAAACTCTCAATATCCAGAGGTTCCAAAGGAGCCTGTTGCCTTTTATCAAGCACTAGTCCATGCGAAGGATTGACTGACGGAGAACCATTCAGTATGCAGTTGACGTTCAAGTGATGTTTGCCTTGTTCAGTGGAAATCACTGAATCCTCACAAAGACCTGGGCCCTTTTTGACCGCAACCTCTCCTGGTGGGACATCTTCTACACCCGAAGACACATGTGATGCTGTGACCTCAGCAGCTGCTGAAGGATTCATCCCTTCCATCACTAAGACAAGTTCAGTGGACCGTGATTCTTCCATACCCAGACGTTGAGAGGGTTCTTCAGGACTCTGGACATCCAAAGTACTATCCACGAGTACACAATCAGCTCCAAAAAAACTTGCTCGATCTACCATAACCAACGTGGATGGGGCGTCTACCCTTCTGGACAAGTCTAAGATATCCCCATTCGCGACATTATCTGGAAATCGCAACACTTCCAAAGCAAACCCTCGAGATAATTCTTCAAAACGTTTCAAATCTGAAACCTCCTCGACGATACAAGTGGACTCAGACACCACTGAACTTGCTGGATCTGCCAAAACCTCTGCGGGTAAAACAACCTGTTTTTTTCTTGTGAGCATAGATGATGCTGGGACCGCAGCCACCTCCGACGAGTCAATGTAATCCGTCTCCACAAGATTGTCTACTAACCGTGCTTCGTCTAAATCAGGGGCATTAGAAGATCCCCTCGGAAGATGAGCATCCAACATCCCTTCATTAATGCATGTAGAATCATTCACCAAAGAATTTGCAAGTTCCATCACATTATCTGCCTGTGCAGCCTCAGCATTTGATGGTTTGGACACAGGTGGTGCAGTAACTGGGGGAGCGTGTGAGTACTCCATGGCAACTCTTTTTGAGGCCCTGCCTACCAATCTTGAGTCATTTAAAGATAAGGAATCACTTGGTTCTAACGAAATGCAAGCATCCAGCATATCCTCATCAGTATATATTGGATCAGCCATCAAAGGACTTGCAAATTTCACTACAAAATTTGACCGTGCAGGATCTTCTTCTGTTCTTGTAAGAACAAGTGAAACAGGGACTGTAGCAGTTTCTAACAAGTCACTCGTATTTCTCCCTGAGACGTTGTCGGCGGATCGTGAATCGTGTACAGAAATGTCTCTGGAGGTTTCTTTAGAGCGACGAATATCCGAGGTCTTCTCATCAACCAGTTCAGCGTCAGACGGAAGCACTGGATTAGTCTGAGTCATTAGTGACAAAAACCTGCCATTCACTGCAGCAGATTGCGACTGCAAGTTAACTAGCAGAGAATGACGCTCCACATCCCTCGGTTTCTTGTAGAAAGCTCCTGTTCTTGTCTTAAGAACAGACTCACTCAATTGAGCTTGTAAAAGTGAAGAGTACGAGACATGCGGCACGCTATCACCAACAGTGGCTCCATTTAATAAACCAGAATCGTGTGAACATAGTGCAGTATTTTGACCTTTCGAGGATTCTGTCATCACCTCAACCAAGAGAATCTTCTGATCACGACGACATGGCGATGCTGGGCTTCCTGCACATATAGCACTATTCCCCTCTCCAAGGAGTCTACGTTGGTCGGGAAGAGCACGATTCTCAGCTAAAAACGTGCAATTCTGATGTTCAACATGCAATACTACTCCTTGATTGTCTAGTCCTACCGAACTCTGTGTAGTGTTAGGAGACCGAACACAGACCGCACCCTCTAACAAACTTCTGAATGAGAATACTGGCAACGAGAAATCATGCTTAGCCTTACGGCTGTCCACAATATTATTCTCTAGAACATCAGCACGAAAATTGGTACCGATCTCTCCGGATGTAAGAAGCGATCGAGGAACCCCATCAATTTTGAATGCCTCGGCTCGCCAAGGTTTTCCTAGCATGTGACTTATGCTAACGCCTTTAGGGATATTAAGTTCCTGAGAGCTTCGTTGCTCCACAGCTGTCCCATCTATTCCTGAGCCTGTCCAATTTCTAACGTCAGCTTCAGCAGCTCCAGAAGTATCTTCTTTAGAACCACTCACCGGGTTTTCTGAGAACCGACCTGCTCCAGCGGGAGGCTCTGCATTCACCTCAAGCCTGGAACTCGACTTTAGATCACGACCTTCTGGGAGCCCACCCAGAATGCATTTTGAGAGTAAATCTTGATAACCAAATCTATCCATCTTCTCCAATGTTTGCCCTGATCACTTTGGAATACTTTCCAAGGGCTCTTGGGGAATGGGATCCATTTGAAGCATCCCTCCCTCTATATCACTGAACTGAACCATTGGTCTCTGCAAAAATAGCTCGGCAGCAAACGGGAATAACGACGTATACACCTTCGCATAGCCCTTCCCAACTCAGCCCTCATCAATATATTCAATTCCTCTTCAACGATTTGAATCATGGTACCGCCACAAACTTCACACACTCGACGACTGATTCACACCTGCCACAATTGATAACCAGCGTCAGAAAAATCACATTATTGCGTTCCCGTTCAGGACTATGAGATGTGGACGAAATCTACACATATAGTAAAACTCAACTTCATTTTCAGTACAGTAAGCCTGCAACTTATCCAAGACCTCTTTGATTATTATATTACTTCACTCAAGTTAGGGCGAAGGGTAGAGCTCACGAAATCAGAATTTAAGCCTCTGTGGCTGAAGGAGAAGAACCAACCAGACCAACAGACAAAACAATGAATCTCGAGCCCCCAGCGAAGAACCGCAACGTTTTCAAAGCCACTGCATGCTACCCTTTCAAGCAGCAGGATAAATTTGAACTCAGGGTTGTGCAACTTCCCTCAAGAACAAGTGATGCAATTCCACGACTGGTTCAGTGTAGTCTACCCTACGATCCTAGCTCACACAACATTAAGTAGAATTAAGCAGAAATGTGGGTAAAAATCCAACCATTCAAAACAGTATCTTAAAGAGGATGCCCTCTTTGAGATTTCAAGATAACTGACAGAGTACCTATTCCTGCTCCTGCTCCTGCTGCTGCTGCTTCGTGTTGTGAACAATCACGACACAGGCTCATCCATAAGAAAATAGAGGAAACAACAATACAAAGCCACGAGAATTCATGCTTCCGTCTGCAAAGTTTCAAGGGATCGCAGAAGCTCCCTGCATCTACCGAACTTAAGTTTAGAAACCTACGGCTTTGTTCAAGAATATGACTAAGCTACCAGCATTGTCCAGCGGTTTTGAACACCTAGCGGACGACTACATTAACTACAGCCCCCACTTACTTCAAGGGAGACCATTGAAGTAATTTGACTGGCTATATCTTTTACTGTGTCGCCTGAAACAAAATGACTGCCGATCCTCATTATGCTCTTATGGTCTAGTTAGACGACACGAACATGAACAAAACGTGGGATTTAACAGCTCATTAACCTGTTTAAACCCCGCCATCAAAACAAATCGAAGCTCTGATTGCTCTGAAAACCCTTCACTATCCTGAACAATCTATTCAAGTTTCACGCATCCCCATCCGGCTGCCACATATCCCGACAGAAAACTACAAACATTGTGCCCGCACCCTCGGTCTCAGAAACTCTTACATATCGACATTGATCACCCGCTACCCCTAACGCCAATACGCTCTCCACCATCGCAAAACAAATTACTTTGCAATTACTTCAGCTCAGTTCACCAAAATTGTACCCTAGATTCCAATCTCCCACAGTCTGACATGTTTAATGCAGCTTACAGTAACGCACTCTCCCATAAATTAGAGAAACTAACTTATTTCTCCCTGAGAGTCCATAGATGCAATCCATGACTTCACGCCGAAACTTGCAAATTAATTTTTAGCCAACTTCAAAAAATTAAAATTAAAATTAAAAAAATTAAGAAATCCATTCTAAGAATACCAAAGCTTAAACTATTCCATTCTGGGTACCAGAATCATGTCTTCCACTTCGACAACGATGACTGCAAGATGGCAATCAAAGACCTCTACGTCCAGGCTTTGCTGCTCGTCAACACAGACACAAGTTCTCATGGCAGTTGGGAACGCTCTGACGGCTTGAATATCTGACGCCGACAATGGGGAATGTCTGAACGTGCGTCCAGCGTTCCACTAATCTGCAACATTTTGAATGAAAAAAGGCGGTTGCTGCAGTGATTCTCATTCCATTTTTGGGATCGAAGAAGGTGGAACGTCAGAAGTGGGTATTTGACATTTCCATTCGAATGTTTAGCGACGTGCTGTCGGAGGGTCGCTTAAGGAGATTTGCTTTTTATCAAAATGTTAATTCGACGTGGTATTTTTTCTACCGCATTGTGAGGGAGCGCTCATCAACCAAAAGTCTCTGAATGCCCAATTTCAGATCATTACGTTCTCTCAAAAGTAAAATGCAGACCTCTCACTTGACTTTGATTTTGTGTTTTCCTTGCACTGTAGAAGTTCACAATACAGTTTCCAACAAAATGAGGCAAATTGAAGAGAATTGATTCGAGAAGGATTGTTAGCTGTGTTACACCGTCAATGCCTTGTACTGAGGACGTGGAGAGAGAATTACGCTCTGTGAATGAGGGGATGCCAGGCAGCAGGTTGAAAGGGTGTGTCAGGTTGGTGATAGGCTAGAATTGATGTGGGTGGAATCTTTTTATTGACTACGTTTGAAGAATCGAGGCCACCCTTGGACATGTCACTTTAGTGTGAGCAAGCGGAATAATTTCTGAAGCCTCAAACATGGGTGCCCTGCAGGGATTTGAACACACCACAGATTTCTCCCCATTCTTAAGGACTATAGGAGGTTTGGAAGATTTTTGTGTTGGTTTAATTTTTATAAATAGATAACTAAACTTGGCCGACGACGTTCATAATCATCAATTTGTGCGCTATACCATAGCTTCATTTCTCGCGATAGTCAAATATTGCTGCTCCACGCCAAAATCGATGGCCAACTCTTCATTCAGCAAACGAAAAATTTAACCTTATTGGACCCTTAGTCATATAACAAAAGCTCTCACTAAGGGGTCATCGCACACACCCTTGCGAGACAGAGAACATACACATATTTGACGACTTAAGTCTCAACTTCAAACCAGAAAACCTGTTTTAGAAAGTAAATGATATCAGTCAACTAATTTACGTGTGAGATTGCACTGCACATATCTTTCGTCCAAAACAACCAGAACTACAAGTGCGACGAATGCGAGGCTCCTTTTGATTTGAGAGATCGTGGTTTGTCACCAAAGTTCTCTGGCACATTCAATGGAGAGTGACTTGAACACATAAAAAGACCTTTCAGCATGACAGCTCACGAAATTGACCTGATAACCTAAGAGGAAAATACCATGAATATCACCTTGTAGACCTCTTGCAACCACAGCAGGATCGAAGGGAGATTCAAGTCAGACGTTAGAACATGGAAGATCCACAAGATAGAACACCAGAGTTGTGAATGGAATAAGGTAGACTCGTGATACTATTACAACGGACTAAACATACAAGATCAAGACTAAATCATAAAAAATTGCACTTAGACTATTTCACGTCTGAGATAGACACATAACTTTACACCCAAATTCAAATAGATTCAATCATAAACTTGCATATAATCTCCAAATCCTCGTGAAACAAGGTTGCAGAACACTAGTACAACCTGCAACAAAAGGAACCACGAATGTAAAACAAAACACGGAACAAGACTCGATGCATACTTCTTGTGAGGTCAAAATCACCTGCAAATCTAGCGGAAAATACCGATAAATACAGAAAATCAGGACTTCAGGTTTTCTGTTACGTAATTCATCCTGGAAGCCCACAACTACCCTAAGTATCAGTAAAACTTGTAAAAATGTCACGTTTACAATTTTTGCCATGACCTCTGTTTGCAGAATAAATCTAGTAGAAAATGAAACAAATAGTGCACACCATAAAAATCCAGGACTATGACGCTAACATACAACAGTTCACTACATCAGTTCGAAACAATTGCAGAACAGGATGAAGAATACTTAGAAATTGAAGCAGCCATGAAACACCGACCGCCTGCCTCTTTTGCATAATTGCATCAAAACGTGCATTTCTCTAGAGTCTATTCAACCACTAGTAAGTGAAATCTATGCTATAATGGGTGGCCAAAGCAACTAACAAGTGAACAATTTGCATCACCCGCAACTACCAGTATGAGAAATTTGACTGCCTCCGCGATCCCCTTCATTTAATCAAGTTATTAACACGTCCGGGCATCCCAGAGAAATATGTACTCCACATTCAAGCTTCCGGATATCTCTCACAATCGTAGCTCCTCCAACACAAGAATGCGCTTCAATGCTCATTAAGTACTTAATGAGCTAAAGTCGCATTCTTTGATATGCAACGAGTTCACAATACGGGAGAAATGAGAGTCTGCACCCCGTCACCATTTAACGATTTTATTTATCTGTCGAGACCAATAGCGACCTCTTCAGAAACAGAAAACGTGGTAATAAGAGCATCACCCTTACCAGTAGTAATTCCACTTCAATGTTTGTACGCCATTAAAATTGCGATCCTAAATTAGAAAAAAACACAATTCTACGTATATTTGTTTTAAGTACGATACCCAAAAAACACTCGTTGTGGTCAACAGTAACCTGACCATCAAAATACCACTCTTTGACCTCCAATGCTGCACTTTGCTGGCTAATATGAAGTTGCTTGAAATTTCACCTGTACCATCAATCAAAGCTCAAAATTGAGAGAGGGAGAGAGAGAGAGAGTGAGATCTAATTTTCCCAACGGTCGTGAGTAATGTATATAAAAGCGAATATGGGCGCAGGAAAACACTGAAACATTCTCACGCATCACAATACCGATTGCCTGACAGGTTGTCAAAGCAATCATGGGGGTATCTCCCATTCCAGACTGAGCATGAGCAATCGCGTGGCGACCACCGCTGATGGGCATTACTGCCTCTACAGCTAGGTACCACACAGATTTTCGATGCCGTACGCGTGGATTCCCCAAAGCAACTCCTACCCAACACCCATTCAACCAAAACTACAAAATCACCTCCTCGCCTTCAGCCGCCTCAAAGACAACACGCTCGTCATCGTCGTGCATGGCGGATCTCACACCCCCAACTCGCAAAACCATCAAACTTACGCGAACCTCTCGAATCAAGGAATCATAAAAGTTCCCATCTGCAGTTCATCATAACAAGAAGGAGAAATTCCCACGTCCAATCCAGCACCACGAAACTCCCCGCAACGGGATCGAGTTCCCTTGCAGCTGCAGACTTCGAAACCCTAATTCGGAACGCCAACCATAATGGATGAAAATATTACATCATTCATCATCTCTCCTGTGCTTCCAAGCTCATTCATGCCTTAAACTATTTTACCTCAACTATGGTGTTGTCATACTGAGTCATGCCTAAGTCCATTTTGTTGTCTCAGCCACAACCCCAAAAATGGACTATGATGAGAAGGAGGTGGAGGAGGGGCTGGTGGGTAGATATCTGTGATAGTGGAGGAAAACATGGGCAGGGGATGAAGACCCCCCCTGTCAAGCCACTTAACAAGGCCCATTGGAAGAACAACAGCCCCCTTCCAAAGCCCTAGTCTACACCACCTTGAGTCACGCTTTCAGTATGTGACCCCCTTGGTGGTTGGTGTCCTTCATGAGTGAGGTTGGTGCTTGGGTAATGTCCCTCCCTTGCTGGCCCCAACTCTACCCAACCCTCACCAAGAAGGAACATGGCCCCTCCTCCATTCCTTGTTGTGGTGGGTTCTTAGTCATTTTGGGTATGTATGAGACTTAGAGGTGTGGGGCAGTGCCAACCCCTCCCAAATGTACCACTCAAGCATGGATGGGTTGCACTGGTTTACAAAAAGTCAGTGGAATGATCAAACCTAAGACATAGATAAGTATACATTCAACTTGCTCTCTATCACAGGGTTTTTGACCTAGCTTCTATCATGATCATGCCCTAAGGGGACTTACCCCTTCCACAAAGCAACCCACCTGGTGGCCCTTCCACACTTCTACATGCTGGCAATTGAAGAGACAAAGGAGCCTCTTCCCTTCACAGAGGTCCATGTCCACTTTGCCTGTTCTCTTGTGCTGAAGGAAATGACCTCCTTGTTGAGGTCCCACTAATGAGGTCTGCCTACTCCTCTTTTGGTCTGAAGAAGACTAATGGTTTATGGGAGAAGCCCAAACTTGAGAATCTATTAAAAAAAACTTAATCCATCACCAATTATCAACTACAACAAAAAAGAATCAATGAATTGTGATCCAGTTCAAGTATGTGATGCAAATTTGATTTTTGTAATTATCACTTGTGTTTTATTCTTGTAATTAATATATAATAAAAAAAAATCTGCCAATATATTAGACAATATGTAATATATTCATTTAAAAACCTAATTATTTTAAAATTTTATGGTACTTATAATTTAGCTAAGGATCTTTAACCTTATAAATCCTTCTAAAAATAAATAAATAAACAAATTAAGATCATAGATATTTTATTTTAAAATAATTCATATGTATAAAAAAAACTTTGATCACAGTCCCAAAAAAAAAAAAAAAAAAAAAAAAAAACAGAAATCAAGTTCACTAAACAAGATATCATTTAAAATTAACATTTCTTAAAAGTTTATTGTGTATTAAAGAAAGACAAATTGCACATTTATTTTGTAACTTTAATTTAGAATAAGCATAATTAATTTATAAGTCTTTCCAAAAAAAATTGTGGTATCATGAGTCCTTTTCACTAATCTAAATTGACACCATATTTAAAGAAAATGAAAACAAATTGTACTATTCCCAACAAGATGTGATTTACTCTCATAATCTAAAGTATTTGCAAATTGGTGTCTTTCCTTGAAACTTGCTGATTGGCTGAAATATTCAGTCTGTCCTTGAAGTTCATTGATTGGATGAATTTTTGAGCCAGGAATATAATTCTTGTTAATGAAAGTTAAAGAATTTAAATGAATTTGGCAAAATTCATTTCTGAAATTATTGAAAAGAATTAATCAGAAACGAAGTTTTTATTTTCAATGTGCATGACAGGTTTGCAATTTCTTTAAATTCTTAAAATAAATTGAAACAGTTGGTCCTTTCTCTGGCAAAGTGATAATACATGTTTAAAAATTAGAGTATACCATTGTAAAAAATTATTTTCAAGTTCTTTATAAGTAATTTAAAATATACATTCTAACAGAGTCTTCTCAAATTCTAACTTATAGAATAAATGTTACATATTCATATATGATTGTGTATTTACATGTATACAATTCTTTAATAAACCACAATAAACATGTTTAACTTTTATAAAATTGCAATTCTCAAGGGCCATTTTGATGACTTTTTGAATAAAAATAATATTTAAATCAATGTATTTATTATTATAATAATCCAACTAAAGCTCATTTGTGTCATATGTGTTTTCTCATTTGAGGAGGAAAAACATTTATACATGTTCATGGTTTGTGTGGTGCCACTTAAATGCTTATTACAGTTCACTTTCCTTCATCTTTCTCTCCTACCTCATTGTGACTGGTGTTCAAATAACTCAATGAGGCTACAAAATTTGTGGCACATATTTGAATCATCATGAACTTCTGACATATGCTCCAAGAGACAAGACTTATAATTGTGATTGATCCCTGAGTTGTGGTCAGTGGAGGGTTCAAGCCAATCACATCACAGGGGTTTAGAAGTCCAGGTCAGCATATATTTGGTTGGGTGGGATGAATCCTACTTGGAAAAATGGCATAACAGGCCATGGGTCTGGAATGTTGCACTGTGGCATCCAACTCAACTTCATGAAGCCTTTCCACCCTTCACAAATTCTGCACCCCCCATGACAGTTCCACAAACTCCCACCACCCAAGGTCTTCACCACTTTGGGCTTCTTCTCAAAGCTTGGTCTATTTGGACACCCATCCCCAAAAAAAGCTTGGCCTGTTGATATTCTTCTGGCCTTCTGATTGAAATAAGAATTTTAAAATGCTATTAATTCTTCAATTTCTTTTGTGCATGGTTGTGTGTTTAACACCATTGCTCAACAGTAGAATTTGCTCAAAGCCCCACATGAACAACCTGTTTAGTGCACATCAGGACAATTTGAATATGGAATCATTGTAACCAAAAGTATGGTTTCAACACCAACAGTAGGATTTTGAAACATAAAACCAACATTTACAAAAAGAATGTCATGATTTTATATTGAAACTTCTCCCCTTTTATCGTGTAATTATTGTAAGAGCCTACACATTTATACAAAATACAGATGGGTTTTTGGTGCAAGATACAAACAAATCTTCTCATTTATAAAAAACTGTTCTTTTGTTTTGAATATCAACTTGGATATACAAAAGTTGTTTCTAAAGCAATGTTACAATTTCCATAGTGTCTCAATGGTCACCAATGGAGCACACATGAATTTTCTTGTAAACATGACCACAATCTTTTAAATTTTATTGTAGCTTTGACTTCACTTTACAAGCAATTCACAATTGTCACAGCCTGCCACTTATTTCTTCTGCTAACCTTTTCATCCACTCCATCAACTTTTACCCCCTCAGCATCCATTAATATTGATGATAAAATAGACAGAAAAGTATCCCAAAATTCAGATTAAAGAATATGTGAAAAAGATGTAGAGGAAGAAGAAGAAGAAGAAGAAAAGAGTCTACCAGATCCACTCCCCCTTATTGAATAGCCTGAATTCATGCCAATGAAATTAGAATTCCAGTATTGCATTCTCCTCCTCCTGACCTTGCAGTGGGAAATAAGCTCTATGATGACAAGTATTGAAAGGGCTGGAGGTTGGAGGAGTCATGCCCTGCTCCCTTACCAGGGAAGTGAGGTAGGACCCTCCCCACCTTAAGACATTCCCACTCATGATCTGAAAAGGTTGAGGGTGGGGGACATGGCTGGGCCGGGTGGGGGACATGGCTGGGCCGGGTGGGGGACATGGCTGGGCCGGGTGGGGCTGTGTTGGGTCAGGTTGGGTCAGGTCAGGTCTCCTCCCATGCCCTGCCTTCTCACAGGAAGGCAGTGTTGCATTGCATAGATCAAGGGGGCAGAGGAGGTTGCATGACAGCCTGAAATCTTCCAGGAATCTGCTTTATCTTTCCCACCTCACTCCCCCACTTCCCCTGGAGCTTACTTGGGGGAGGGGGGGCGCCCCCAGCTAGAGGCCTGCTCCCATGCTGACAACCCATGCAGTGCTGCTCCTCCTGGACATTGATGCTTGCACACATCATCATCATCATCCCACGGCTACCACTGCCACTGCAAGGAGGTCTGCTCCCATACCCTCCCTTCCTCCCAAGGAGGCCTGCTCCCATTCACCTCCCTCCCTCCCCTCCTCATGCATCCATGCATGGATGCATGCCTGTGCAAAGAAGCCAGAGGTGGCCCCCCTCACAGTGAGGAGACCCATTGTCCACAGTGAGGGAAATTAAAAAAGAGAATGGCTCCAGTTCTGCCTGGCTGCCTGCCTCCCTGCCTGCCTGCTTGCCTGGCTGGCTGTCTGTATGTCTGTCCATCTGTCTATGTATTTGGGGTCCAATGCCTCTAAAGACCAGCAGAAACCAACAACAGCATCTAGTCTGGGGGAGGGAGGGTGGGGAAGGGGGGGCGGGAGAGGGAGGGAGGGAGTGGTGGAGGAGGAGGAGGAGGAGGATGATGCCGGATAAGTTACCGTGGTCAATGATGGAGCCGAAGTTACCAGCCACGTCATGGGGGGACATGGCAAGGCGGAGAGGTCTGAAGGAAATGAGGTCATGAGCACGGGCATGGATATGCTCCGCCTTCCAGCAGCTCTCTATTCCTCAGTCTCTCTCTCTCGCTGGGTGTGTGTGTGTCTCTGTGCGAGCAAGGCCAGCCTCCGCTGATCGGTGCTTTCATGGCCCAATATTCGCGTCATTGCTCCGCTTTTCTACGCTTCCTCGCTCCCTCTCCATCCTGCAAGAATCCATGACTGTCTTGCTTGCACGGAAACTTGTGAACTCGGCGTGCAATTTGCTCTTGATTTGACCAAGAACCAACAGTCGACATGGCATCATGGGCTAGTGGAGGACGTCTACACTTGCATCTTCTTCAGGTCAGTTGTTGAACCGCCCTTTTGCTTTGATCTGGCTTTCGTGTGTCTTTTCTTCACCATCACCGGGTTTATGCTCCATGCCAGCGTGAGTTCCTGCAGAATTCTTTGTGTTTTCTGATTTGCAGAGGCGAGACTTGTGTGCGTGATCGCGTCGTGGATTCGGGTCTAGGGTATTGGAAACGGGATTCTTGTATGAAGAGCGCAAAGGGAAAATTATTGGCTTCGTCGTGGCCGTTAGGATGTCTCAATCGGGGCCGGGAGCATTCTATGGAAGGGTCAGACATGAAAGACCCCTTGGAGAATTTTTTTGGTAGCATAGGAACCTTCGCCAAGGAGGAGCTTTTCTCTTTGTTTTCGTTGGGAGGAAGTTCTTTTTTCGATTTTGCAGGTTGCATCTACTAATCATAGGCAATGAGGTGCAAAGCTTCGTATCTCAATTGACTTGAGGATTTTAGTCCGCAGTTATTTGAAATTCTTGAATTAAATCGGGTAATACACTTGCTTCTGCGTCAGAAGATCTTTTTTGTCTTATTATCTGGCTGAAGAATATATCGGAACAGGCTCGTGTGTCCTTGCAACAGCAGTTTTCACGGTATTATCGAGTTCATGGTCAATAAGTTTTGAGTGATGTATGAAGAGGCAGTTTCTTTAGTCCCAATGAATTAGGGTTAAGTGACGGAGAATTGTGACAATAGCGAAGAATTCTTTTCCTTTTCGCTTCACTTCGTTGTCTTTCGTCTTTCTCGCTTCTATTTGCAGTCGTAAGCCGTGTAAAATAGAACCAGACGTTTGAGCTTTTAAAACTTACAAGAAGAAGAAGAAAGTGCGCTCGGTTGCACTTTTGCGTTCATGATCGTGGAATCAGCTCTAAGTGAATCCAATTCAAAGTTGTAATTCTATTTCTTGCAAGTATAAAACAATTTCTTACAAAATTTCTGATTGTCTCGAAATCGTCTTGCCTTGAGTTAAGCCTTTGGTTTTGTCCTCTTGCTTGGACTCTAAGGATTGCCAGCGTAGTGCCTGCTCCCTGGAAAGTGCTCATACCGAGCTGCAACATGTCTGGATTTGTACGTGAGATCTCCGCCAGGAGAACCGCTGAGAAACACAGTTTTCGAAAGCATTTCACAGATTATGCGGAATCTCTGCAAGTCATAATTAGAGTCCTGTAAATTGGGAGACATTTCTCGGATTCTTGTAGTTAAGAGCCTCTACGAAGTAGGTAGGAACTTTGAGAGGGACTGGACTTGAGTACATTCGGTCACAAGGCTTATGCAACGATCAGTAGCGTCTACGACCATCCTTATCTCTGTACGATGTGATCATACACATTCATCAATGCCACATGTGGTGCGAACTTCTGTTGTCTTGGTAATTGCCTCTGAATGTGGCTTTGTGGGGAGATGCCTCCGCGTCTAAGCTTTCTATGCCATAGTCTGCAACCTCACTAATAAGTTTTAAAAATCAAGAGGAACCTTATGGAAAACATAGATCTATGAATGTGCAAGACAATTGCAACAGCGAGAATGCATTGTTTTGCATGTTGCTTACCTCTAGTGACGAACTTGAATAATCTGTTTATATTGAGTGATAAGTTGTTTTGTTAACTTGCAAGTGAAGTGCTTTGTTTACAGTAAATGACATGATTGTCGTTGTAGTTGCCTAGCTTCTGAGAGTATTTTTCCAATCATTTCTGATAAAGGTCAGTATTGATGGTTGCAGGAACTCTTGTAATTTATTTTGGAATGGAATGCAGGATCACGAAATGCTGTTTCAGTGTTGATATTGCGCATGTACTTGGTAGTCACTCCTCTCTGCGCTTTTAAAATTTCTGAGCGTGGGTGTAGGAGAGTGCTCAAGCATCACGATTGGTACTAATTGTGAATTGGCTCTTATGTGTATGTGACATCATATGCAATTCGGGTGCTTGCTTAGTTTCTAAAAGAGTGGCAAAGATTGTGATTCAACACAAGGACTTTGAAATTGGGTCTTTCAAGAATTTTTCCTCTGGACTTGTTCCACTTTTTTCTATTTTACAGCTAATTTGTCATATCATTTTTGGTGATTGTTCCAAGAAGGATGTCCTAAACATGATATATATATATATATATATATATATATATATATATATATATTTGTGTGTGTGTGTGTGTGTGATGCTTATCCTCGTTAGGGAGTTCACGTGACGGTCTGTTCTTTATTTGAAAATTGTCAGTAGAAATTTTCTCATCCTAGCAGGCTCTGTAACGAACTCATCTTGGGAAGCAAATTAGGTTGGTTGGTCTTCTCTTTGATGAGGAAATATGCTTGTTGTATATTGTCCAATTGCCTTGAGTGTTGTAATTTTTCGAATTGGTAATGAAGCATATTAAGCTTGCTGTGATGTAATTTTCGGAAAGCCTCAGTTATATTTTGGAACGTGTATTTATGACCAGATTCCGCGGTCTGGCCTGCAAACCCACTGATTATGGATGCATAAACATATTATTTGAGAGGTTTTTGTTTCTGGAAAGTGCTTGTTGCACACAGTTGTCCACTGGGATGAAAATGACCAGGAATTCCCTCGAACGTGCAACTTTCTGTAAACAATCTGCGGACGAATTTACAAGTAGTGGATTTTAGCACTAGGTATTAAAAAATGCTGATGGTGTAACCGATATCCATGTCATTGAAACCTTCTTCAAGAAATATATAGAGCTGTGTGCTAGTGGACGTTCAAATTATGCTTTTTTCGCTCATTGTGTTCCTTGGTTAACCACGGTTTCTAAGTGGAACCTCTACTTCTTTCAGAGATGTAAATAGAATGGTGAGTGGCGTGGATTGACGGCTGTTATGAATCTCAAACTTATTGGTTAGCCGGTTCACGATGAAGACAGACCTCGAGGGGCTCAGGCCTTGTGCGTCATTTACGGAGACTTGCGTCGAGTCTCATGGCGCTCAATGTCAATTGAATGAGGATCAGTCGGTGGGAGCCCCTTCTTTTCTCAAGATGATTCGTGACAAGCATTTGCCCAACAATGCAGGATTTGTTGTAAGCATCCTTTGCTCTGAATCCGCAATTTGCAGTCAGTCTATCCTCCTAATGGAATAACGGTCCATTTTGTTGGTTAACTTTGTAAGCTTACTCTGTGACTTACACTTCAAGACCGCTAGGGTAATTCACGAGTTTCCTGTAGTCCCTTAATTTTCTCGACACAGTTCTTCAGAGAAGGACCGAAACACTATGCTTGGGTTTGGAGAACTTTGTAGACCTTCATCTCAGCGTTGTTGATGTTGCTTGCAGCGACTACCGAGCTCGTTTATGGAACAGCATGGCCCTAGGATTGGGAATGTGGTGACTCTGAAGGGTCCTAGTGGCTGGGTTGGACAGGCGTCTGTTTCCAATGACGAAGGATTTGCGTTTTGTGGCGGATGGAAGCAGTTCGTTGTTCACCACAATATTGGTGCAGGCGACTATGTAGTGTGTACCCTCATTGCTGACTCGAAGTTCTCTGTTAAAATCTACAACAAGTTTGGCTGCGAGAAGGATCATCCTTCTCATGCACTCACACCTGAGGGACCCAAAGTGCATCTTTCGATTTTCAAACCCTCGGAGGGAGGTCGTGAGTTTTCTCTAACAAATCTCGGAGGTAAACGTAAAACTTTAGATGAGGTGAAATCTCTTTCTGGTATTGGAAAGAAGTTGTGTATGCAGCAGCTTGGCCTTGAGAGGTCGATAGTTGAAGAGGGGAATGCCGAGATCGAGACGAAGCTACATATTGCATCTGAGTTTAAGTCTGACCACGATCCTGATCCACAACAGAGTGTAGATACGGTTAGAGCTTCCACACCTGTACAGGTAGGGCCTTTATCAGAAGACTATTCCAGCTCAGAGTCGGAGAAAAGAAATGTGGAAATGGAGGAGATCGATGATATCGATGATTGTAACAAAGCGATTGTAAGAAAGCGGGCTCATCGAGCAGTTTATGAAACCGAGATGCGGAGGTTTATGGCTATGGAAGCTGCACAGGCATATGAGACGGCTAACCCAAGAACGATGCTTGTAGTGAACAAAACGGCGATTACCAAAAGTCAATCGGTAAACTACGATCTCTTATTGCATAGGTTTTACTCATTAGTACTGAACTTCAGAACAGGTGTTACATTTATTTTTGTCATGCATGTGGTACGTGTCATTTGCCATGTGCCATGTATATTATGAACATTAAATGATTTCTACTCTGTCTTGCTCAATTTTGGGTTTGAAACGAGTGTGATGGGGGATGGGAATTGCAGTACTTTTCTTCTGTATTCGCTCGGAAGTGGTTTCCAGAGGAGAGAGCACAATTGCTCTTAATTGACGACGCTGACAATAAATGGGCTGTTACGTTTATTCCTACTGCATCGCACATGGTTCTAGGTGCTGGATGGGCAAAATTTGTGCGTGATAATAAGCTTGAAAAAGGAGACGTTGTTGTTTTTGAGCTCAAGAACCCAAACACTCTTACTCTTACGGTTCATATCTTCCGCGTCAAGGATTATACCTTTGTCAGAGTAGCTAATCTCGGCAGGACCAAACATCCTGACAGTAGCATGGTCTCCACCCCTTCTAAGACTGACAACCTTTCTGGTAATGCACGAGTGAAGCACACAGCTGAAAGTCGAGAAGATAACCAATCTCCAGGTACAAGTGATATAACTGAGCTAAAATCACAATCTCCGATGGCACCTCAGTACGCTGCTGTTGCAAAGTATTTTGCCAATCGAGCCTCACCATCCATATATGGCAATCAGAAAGTCTGTGATGGCGTAGTGCAAGAGAGTGAACCGCAGAAAGCAAACGAAACCAACAGCACGGCAGGTATTTCAGACCCCGTCCCTCTGAGACATTAATATTCAGCGTGTTTCTTCATAATTGACCTAGAACTTTACAAAGTATGCATTTTAATGACCTCAGTAAGGACTAATTTGAAGAAGAGACGCATATAGATCTAGAAAAGCATTTCCAACAAATAGTGCACTGTTCATTCTAGTGCGTGTAGACTTGATCAGAGTTTTCCCCGTCTTTAGAGCCTTTGAAGATTTACAAATCATTGGGCTGTCCACTACAAGAAAGATTGAGCAATTGATACAATTGTCTGATAAGGGCTCCAGAACGTATCCAAGTTGATGACTTAATCGCAAGACTATACAGTAACAGAAGTTGTTAAGTGTTTCGGGTATTTAGATCCACATGTGATAGTGTCTGATAACTTTTTTTGGATCAAAGATACAAATTTCTGATTTGCATGTTTTTTGCCTACTACCAGTAATCAATTGCGAGGTGAGTTCTGTACAAAATTATGGGTCAATGTTCTTGGAAGCAACTTGTAATTCGAAGTGAAGCAGCTGGTTGAAATTGTGCAGAGGAATGTGGAATTATACGACATATTGGAGAGTCATTCACAATATCAAAGCAAGGACTGCATTTTCTGATGCCAGGATCACAGTCTAGGGAGAGAGAGGAGACATTGGTGGAGTTGAATGATAAGATTAGTGCTTACTCAACGCAGAAAAATCTTCAAACAGCAGCACCTTTCACTGCATTGCCAAGCGGAATCAGTGAAATTCAATGTTTCTACTCTCCTGCAACGCACTCCCCACAACAGCTACAGTCATTGTTAGCCCAGCAGGAGCAGATAGCTGATGGTATGCCTGCACATTTAGGTGGGACTGTGTTCTTGGCTCCTCAAGGTCAAAAACCATGTTCGACGCAAGTGCAAGACAGGACAACTATTATGAACTTGCAGCCAAATCAACCTCTTGAAACTTCGCAACTGGACGAAAGCCATACTGGAGTTACTGTTCCTCCTGGATTACCGAAAGAAGTGGAATTTCCCAGAATAATGAAGGACGATCCACCTGCAAGACCTAGGGAAAGGTGGGAAATTAAACCTCGACGACCTCGGCCACCAACAGATGCTGAGAGACAGAGGGCAATGGATGAAGCATCTGAATTCTGGACACCCAATCCTCATGTTATGGTTGTCTTGAAGCCTTCACAGGTCTATGCGGGGTTTTCACTGGTAAGTATTTCTCAATTTCTATTCAAATTTGTCCAATAGTTTCTGTCGTCGATTTAGGCATGGATATTTGATCCATGAATTTCTGCATTCGTAGATTTTACAGCTATTTTCAACATAATTTTGGCGTCCTTCGAATAAAAGAAACGTCGAAGTGCAATTGTGTAATCAAGTCATGGTATGAGGTGATGATCCAATTGTGATACAGTGAGCTGCTTCCTGTATTGCAAGAGCTTGTTCAATGCTCTGAAGATATGGATGTAAAGTGTTGTTGTATTGGGTTTTGTGATAAATCATAGCATGTTCACAAACGAATTCCATGTTGTTAATTACAGTGGTTTAGCAATGTTCATGCAAGATAGAAACGTCGAAGTGTTCAATTGATTGCAGGATATGCGATGAGTTTATTGAAGGATTAAGTTTATGTTCGGAATCATAACACAGAATAAAGTGAATGGATTGCCATAATTACAAATACGCTCTCTTAAATATGATTTTTATGACAGACATTAAGATGCGCGGCCTTGCCTGATGAAACAAGAGATGCGACTTTGGTAGACTCAACCGGCCAAACTTGGATGTGCAAGTGGCTTGTAAACCATTCGGGGAGGCGGCTGAGCGCTGGTTGGAAAAGATTTGCAGTCGATCACCTTTTAGAAGAAGGAGATGTCTGCGTATTTGAGATGATTGATCGTATAAACCTTACGCTGTTGATAAACATTTTTAGGATTGAGTTGGATGATCATATCTCAGAGCCAATAGAAATACGAAAAAGCGTGGAATTGCGAAGACCTCCTGCAGATCCCACAAAGAGAAAACGAAAGAGTAGAGCAAAACCAAAGGGATTGGGACCTCCTGTACCCAAGTTGCCTGCATATAGTGGTTGCCGAATGGAAAAGCTTGGAGGGAGTAGTCCGTTGCCAAGAGGAGCTAATGTGCTGCCCAATATGCCAAGCTACAAATATACAGCACTTCAGTCCCGGAGACGCCCTGTGACGATGGAGGAGAGGAGGAGGACAGAGCTGGGTGCGCGGAACTTAAACACCAAAAATCCAAGTGTGACAGTTGTCATGCGAAACTCAAGTGTTTATTGTCACTTTCTCGTGGTAGGCCCCTTCACAATTTTATAGTGACGTTTTTTCCGACGACAGCGTAATGAACTCCAATTTCTTTGTGGATATTTGTAATAGTCTAAAAGTTGCCCCTAAGATGTGCTTTTTGACTGATTCAGAGGTGAACCCTTTATGATGATTAGTGAACCCGATGTGACTCAGTTAAGTTTCAACAGTCCCTTTGTTTTAAATAAATAAAAGACAGTATCCTTACAACTAGACTTGACTGGTTGTGTTGCAGTCTATACCAAGCGCATTTGCTAAGCAGTGGCTTCCAAGGAAACTTGTTAGAGTGACACTCGTGGATTCAGGGGGTCAGAAATCGACCGCACGCTGGGCCGGAAATCGAAAGAAGAGTGCCTGTTTGAAAAGCTTCAGAGAATTTTCCCTATCTCATTGTTTGGAAGAAGGAGATGCTTTGGTGTTTGAGCTCATGGATCCGAATCCAAACAACCCGGTCTTCCTAGTTCATGTTTTCCGTGTGGTAGAGCTACCAAGTACTCGAATGTCGCCCAAAGACTGGGAGACTCATTATAAGTTGGATGTCATGATAGGTACGATGAAACCTGTAGTCCCTCTTCAAGCATACCAAAGGCGCTATGATGGTCAGTCTCGCATGCTGCAAGCGAACCAGCCATTAAGTTCAGGTTCTGAGGATGAACAGGATGAACCCTCTGGAGTATCATTGCAGCCTCCAATGTTGTCTGAACTTTCTCCAAAATCCAAAACGAAAGCTATCTATTCGGCCCTTGTGAAAAGAAAGACTATTGGTAACAAGGAAAATGGATACTCAGATCCCGTTCAACATGACTTAGGAGAGGATACTTCTAGTACAGTTGAGAAACTGGCTCACACAGCACAAGGGCAGATTGAAAACTACGGTAAGTCTCCGAAAAATAACTTGCACAGAGGGTGCCCTGCTTTAAATTTATTATTATTTGTTAATTTACTTTTTTAATCTTTTATTTGAAGCTTGTTTAGTATGATATGATATATATGGGTATAATGTATTGACTTCGTACACTTTCTGAAATTTGTATTAAGAATTTTTAACTCTTGGTTTTGTTTGCAGCGGATAAAGCAACCCATATTTTCCAATTAGAGAGGTTGGGGAGGCAGCAAATTTCCCGTGATATTATGCCTATCTTTAAAAAAAATCCCAGAATTGATGCAGATGGGCCTGAAGCAGTGATTGCTGGTCTCTCTAATCAAGCATGTAGGGAGCAAGTAGAGCATGTTCATGACAAACCAGATTCAAAGGCAGGCTTTCATGCTTCCCATGTAGCTGACGATACGAGCCAAAATGCAAAGAATGTTAAGCCAATGGTCCCAAAAACACCCAAGAAGGAGCCACTTGAGGAAGTTGGTCCTCCGAAAGAGGGTAAAAAGACTAGGAGAAAAACTACTCAACGCAGGGAGGGAAGGGATGACTTCCTTCAAGTGGCAGTTGGAGAAACCTCTAATTGGGAACCACAGGACTTAAATCTTAGTCGGCAAGAGAATATTGAAATCAGTGATGTCCTCAGGAAGACACTGCTTGGGAGTGAACCAAAAAATGGAGTTTCTCAACCTTTAGTTCCATCAACGCATGAACTAGAGCTGCTCCTCGATTCCAACGCCTCGAGACCAGACCCTCTTTCAAGAACGAAAGATCTCCAAGATAACAAGCGTTTTATTTCAGGATCAAACTATCAAGACCAGACAGGCATGCATGGAACGGAACACTCAGTTCGAAACCAAAAAGTTTCAATCGCAGCCGACCAGCAGACTTTGGACAGAGTTGGGGCTGTCGAAAACGAGCAATGGTTAAAGCCTAAACCAGAGCCCGTGCATGGTGGGGATATCGTTCGAGGGATGAGATGCGAAGGTGGCAGCTGCGTTGAAAGTGGACAGCTTGAGGTGCCTCGACCAGGGAAAGAAAAGGGAGGCTTGGTGAAGGTCGATACTACAACACAGTTCAAGCAGGTATTCTTCGGTTCTATTATTGATGGGGTGAGATCGGAAGTGGGAGCTCATAATTCCGATGCAGAAAGGAAAAGACTGTGTCATGTGGAACAAGGACTGACCCCAAAGACCAGAGATCGGGTAGACAGATGGCAATTCTTGCAGCCTGGGATGGTCGTCAATTCAAATGCAGACAAGAACGTCCAAGCTAGTAATAATAATAATAACAGGATATCCTGGTTCAACCACCCGAGCATTGTGAGTCAAGCTGGTAAAGCACAGGCAAGTGCGACTTGGGAGAAGAGAAGGGAAAAATAATGTATCTCTTGCAGGAAGCATTCTCATTTACGTAGATTTGAATGCTCCATGTGTATATATGAAAGAGTTCTAACCGACAGGAGACTCATCGTTTCAGAGACCAAGCATAGTCACTACAGCTCAATGGCACTTGGCAGGATCGTGAACTCATTCATGTCAGTCATCCTGAGGTTCATATCCCTATCCAGACGGCCAGATAGTCATACAGGTACTGTTGAAACCATGCCACGAGATGAGTGATATTGCGGATAACACTGTAAATTTATTCAACCATCTGTTAGATTTTGTTATGTATAAATTTTATTCCGAGAGTTTGAAAAGAGAGATTCAGTTTTGAATATTCAATAACTAAATTAACTGTACATGGCCATTTATTAGTGATCAGACATACAGTGGCGATGGTATTTACTCCAGACGATGTGCCAAACTTTTAGCCACCCATTTGTAATATACCGGGGTGCAAACATGTGCCGTAGACCAACATAGATGTTTGCCTGAGACAGGCGGTTCAACATGTTACTGCCCGACATCAATGGCTCAGATCGTCAAGTAAAAGAATGTCCTTTGGTCCAAGCCCAGGGCACAGTTGCTTGAAATTAAAAAAAATTCCCTTGTGCACGGAGCTCTTCAACATGTTTGCTATAATTGAAGATGGCCTGGTGCACATCTGTAAATTCGGGATTTGTAGCATCTTTAACATCCGCCATCCATGTTGTGATCCTTTTGCGATGTTCCAGCATATTCTTGTGATCATCCTTGTCAAGCAACTGAATTCAAGTGAGCCCTAAATTAATCAAAAGAAATTCCAAGCACCACGTAACTTGATTTACATGCAATGCCTAAAAAGACGTTGCAACGACGGTGGAATTACGTCTTCTAGATATGGAGATCTCTTCGAATCCCAAAGTTAGTGCATAGGCAAGTAACCAGAAATGAATCAGATTTAGTTACCTGCAGTTGCGTTAGCTCACAGCAAAGGCTCAAATCTGCTATGGACACTAGATCAGCATTGTGCAGGAATTTGCCGTGTTCTAACATCAATTCTAGGGCGTCGAGGATCTGTGGTAGAGTCTTGGAAGCATCATCTGCCAAGGATTTGCGAGTCTCTTCTCCCAGATTTGGGAAGAAATTCTTATGAGCAGGTACCTTCACCAACACACGGTTTATGACCAATTGACCTGTCATGTCCAAGAAGTCAAGACCATGAGCTCCATGAGCACCGCAGGGTTCACAAAATTCTAGCTAGTTGCTGCAATGCTTGTTACTTTTAAACGCCAATGAAATTCAGTCGTCATCAGAATAGCTCTTCCTGCTGATAGTTGGTAGGAGCTGCCAATTTGGCATAAAGACGACTGAGCAGTCTTCATGGGAACAAGTTCCTAAATAATAGAAAAGGGACATGTGTATGAAACATGAAGCATGAAGTTACTCACTTCCATATTTTCGAAGATTCAAGTGATGCCAGTCAAGAGCAGCATCAACAAGTGCACGTTTTTGTGGATCTTTGGGATACCAATGATCAGCCACATTATGCGTGGTAGCCAAGTATCGCATGATTGCGTGGCTGCATCAAAGGTACCAAGCACCAACTATTACGAGTCATGAATTATTCCCTTGTGGTGGTTACTTGAAACGTGGGGAGCTATGACTCAGTTCTAGGAAAGAAGCCCACTACAGTAAATCGGAACAAGTGAAGGATTCTGAACCTCTCATGTAGCTTGAATCCATGGTCATCAATGCAAGGCACCAAGCCCATGGGGTTGATCTCTGCCACCCCCAAGTGTCAAAGAGTTGTTTGTTAGTGTTCAGCAGTGAGTAAAAACTTCTTCACAATCGATGCTGTACAGGATAATTGTCTTTCTTTTCCAACTCTCAATCGGGCAAGATTTAAATAACATGAGCCGTAACTCAACTTAGCTGTCGTCTCTGAACAAAAGAACTAATTTGAGGTTATATAATAGTGACAAGGTTTCTCACTTCTGAACTCCGGGGTTCTGTTCTCTAGTTTTCTCAGATCAACTCCAATTTCATGGGCTTCAATTTTGTTAACCCTGGATCAAAATCAGCAAAAGTGAACATTCATCCTGCGAACAAGAGCTTCTTCGAACTAGCAGCCACCACTTGCTCTTGCTCATATTTGCATAAGAGAAGCCATTTCGACATTGGTAACATGATTGAGTTTGTGTAGAATCCCAAGGCACTCTATCTGCTACTGCTTCAATGTAAGGCCACCAAATTATATATGTTTGCAAACAAAACCAAACGTACAGTTAAAATGTAGAGCAATTACTCACATGTATCTGAACGACTCTACCGTTTGAAGATTAGTCTGCAAATCTGTGTCTGGGTGTAGCTAAAAGGTCTGTTATGCGCACCGGAGGAGATTCAAACACTGACCTGCAGAAGATGGTGACTGCCCTAGCTGGCTGGGATCCGAGGTCCACATATAGCTTCAATCCCCCAGTTTCATTCGCATTATCGAGCGCCATGGTTAGCGGAGTTCAAAAATAGAGCACGAAGGTGTAAAAATCGAACAATCTATACGATACGCTTGTTTCGGGGAGTGGACACCCGCATTTGTAGCAGAGCAAACTACAGATGGATTTAGGCAGGGCTTGGAAGGTGGTCGCTCTGGTGGCTGAGTTCTCGGTTTGTCCAACTTGACGACTGTGTGAGGATCGAAACGCAGTCGTCGTGGCGGGCCAGATGCAGACACCCAGCCGCCGAGGGACAGCTTCTGCTTAATCGTACCGCCTGTGCTCATGTGATGCGTGTGGAATGCGACGCTAGTGCGTCACATTGAGCACTTTCATGCATCAGCTGGGGCACATTGCAACACTATCTGCTCAACTGACCCCACGCCTGCTCGATCGATCCTCTCAGTGTTGGCCTTCAACACCAATTGTGCCTCTCAGAGCATGAAAAGTAGAATGAGAACGACAATCGTGACAATCATAATGCAGCCTTCGAGGATTCGTCCCCACCATCCCCAATCACAACCTGCATAGCAGAATGTCACGCTGCTAAAGATCACCCGGAAATATTCTGAAGAGGCTTTTTTTTCCCTCCCTTTTCGGTAGGAGTTAGGTTTTTAGAGGAAGTGCCTCGTGGATACATGTATTGGGTTTCAACGTTTGAAAGTATTGGCTGGATCCAGGGGTCCAGTAAAACATATGGGAGAAGGTGCATTTAATTATTTAATTTTCAAGAGAGGTATTAGAGCACCAAGCAGACTACATTGTGGGCATGCACACTAAGTGTATTCATGACATTCCTAGTCACATTGTTTTCATGGCATTAATATCATCAATTATTTTTTGTACATTAGGCGGCTCCAGCTCTATTGTCTCCTGCAAAATGCAACAAACTTGTGAGTATGCTTAGAATTGGGCATGAATGTTCTTAAGAAATTCCATAGTTATTAGAATAGTGGAAGAGTGGCCATAGAGGCAAGGAGTGGGAGTAGTCTTGTACTCAAGTTGCAAGTACTCTTTAACTCCATTCTTTTGTTTTTATGGTGTCAACATTATCATCCTTAACAAAAAATACAAATACACTAAGTACCTAGCTGTAGAGAGTTTAGCTTTAACTTATTGGCCAAGCTCCAATAAGTGATTTATTCTTATTATAAAAAATAAATAAATGCAACAATATAGAAAGACATTTTAATAGTAAAAACCTTTTCTATTTAAGAAGGATTATACACAAGGCTTTTTAAAGCATCTTGAAATGCCTTAATATCTTTTGATATACCAAATCATAATTAATTATTTGTTGATAAGTTAGATTTTCCATAAGTTCAAAGAAAATCCATAATCTCCTTACAAAAATCCATCTTTATACCATAATTTTGCCATAGTACCATATCTCTATCTTTAACATGTATATAAAGTCTTGGCTCCCAAAAATCCCTTTACTTTGTATAAAATGCCCAAATTATGGTAAAATCCTTTCAAAATATTTTTTTCCTCTAAAGATTTTTTTTCTCTCTAAATTTTAAAATATCATATCTCTTCATTCAACCATTCAATTTTTCTCAAATTTCTAGACAATGTAATATTTATCTTTAAGTTTTATCACAAAAATAAATAAACTATAAATCTACTATAGAACGTTTGGCATCTTAGAAATCCTAGTATGTGCTCTAAATCCTAATTTATAAGCACTTGAGTATTATTTTCTCTATATCTCAAAAATCCAAAATCCAAATGCCACAAATTTTATATATAAAGTTTAGTAACATAATAATACACCTTCTTGAAAAAATTTAGCTAAAATCTTATCAAATTGTACAAGATATAGCTCAAAACACAACCACTAGTAAATTGGGTCACATACTACCTTTAGATTGCAAGTATTGACTTCAACTTCTTATATCTTCTTTATTTCAACTTAGAATTCACTAAGAAATATACAAAAAATGTAGGCAAGAAAGTGCTCTCTTTTATCCCAGTTGCCAATCCTTCATTGTTTTCTATATGTGTATGTTATGTCCAAAAGAGTGATAGTAGGTACAAAACCAACACTTTCACTTTGAGCACCAATATTCCTTTCATAAAAACTCCAAATTACTCAAAATTTGTACTAAAACCATAGCCAAAAATTTAGACTTTCTAATCCTAGCATTCTAAGTTCAAATGGCTTCAAAAGACTAACCTTAATTCCTAATAAGACCTCGGGCAGCCTCTTTAAAGACCATTGGGCATGAATTTTGGCCAATAAGAATAGAAATTTTCTTCATCTATCTCCATTCATCCATATGATTGGCCTAATTATTCTTTTTTATATAAAAATCCTTCTCTAATCTTTTTTCTAATAAATTTTGTATAATATGTGTCCTAAACATCAAATAAAAAGAATAAAATAAGATTTTAAGAGCCACCAATGTCTAATAAAGGTGGCTCTAAATATATATAAAAAACTATTATTAATATAAAATCAACCTCAATAATAGCCATTTTAAACTAACTACTTCAAAATAGTAATCTAATCATATTTTATAACCAATTAAAATCTAATAACATGGCTCTTACTACATTGTATAGTAAATTATATATTAAATATATATGTGCATTATTTTCACATGGTAGCCAAACCACACCATGACATTCGCTCATACTCTATTATCTCCACTTGTAAGTGCAATAAGAGCTTCAACTACAAAAATGTAGCTTATTTATGCACATGCCTCAAATTGGGCATTAATCTTATCAAAAAAAATTGTAGTGATTGAAATTTATGGAACAATTTGAGTGCATTGTTAAGATGTTTATTTCTATAGACAGCAATTAGATTATGAGACTGAAAAAGATACCAAAAGATAGAATCAATGTAATGCATACAAGGAGTCTATTAAGAAAAACTTTATATACATTCATCGACAAGGATAAAGAGACATTTTTAGCGCATTGCAAAGTACAAAGTGCACATGTGCCATTATCTTATATAGATAGTTTTTTATGTTTTTATTGTTGTTTTTGAAGTATTTCATCAAGCAAAAATTGACTCTTATCAAGCTCTATCAACTACATATAAATGTGATACAAGTTGACAATCCAAACATGTACGTACTTAGCTATTTTTATTATACATAGTATGTCTATTTTTATTTTTTTAATCTTTATTTTTCACATTTGAAAGAATATTTTTGCAGTCATTGTGTCTATCTCAACATTTAGTTTGATTGTGATGATGTCACCCTTGCAAATAAGTCACCTTACTATAAGAAAAAAAATATTTAAAAATCTATCTTGATGCAACAATTCTTCAACAATAATTTACATCTAATTTTGTCAAGAAGTATATCAATTGATATGCTTTAAACCAAACTATTACTAGCAATATCATCCTTGATGTATATGATGTTGAACTTAATGCAGCCATGAATAAAGATTGGCCTCTTATCATGTACATATTTAGGTTGAGGACTATGAGGGTAGTATCATTATATTGCATCATAGTCACATGCATCCTTTGATTGACTATTACAATAGTAACTTAATTCATTAGAATATAATGATCATTGATATTATCTATATATGCAACAACATCTTCTTCTAAGACAAAACTGTACAAGATAATGGCACATGTGCACTTTGTAGTTTGCAACTTTTGTACCACCTAACAATTTTGTTCCAAGATATTGTTGATAGTCGTACTCTTGCTAAGATTTCTTTTAATATCCTTAATAATTATAATAGCTAAAATAAATCAAAGATTTTATTCATGTTCTATGTTCTTCTTTTCATCTTGTTTCCATATGCAAAAGTTATGACATGCTTCTTATTATTGGGCCATTTGTACAATATTAGAAATTATATTTAGTATCACAATACAATGTGCAAATTGAATTTGTATACATCTCAGATGCTTGTTAATGAAGTGAATAAGGTCAATAACATATACGCTATCTTTATTGATTACAACAACCCTCAATGGCTATTCTTCATTGATAAGCTGAACTAACTCAATAAATATTTCATTTCTCCTCCTACTCGCTATACATCAAATTATTTGTTTAAGATGGAACAAGAAATTTGGATGGCTTGTTACCTTATAAATATACTTGATGAAAAATCTATTACATTCTATCTAGTTAAGTTGGGCACCATTAACACTATTTGTAAAATTCTACTAATAGAGTTATTCAAGCCTTCAATCACTACCATCTTTGAGGTGTCCATCAAGAATCTTTAGTTGTTGTCTCATCCTAGCAAGGCTTTAACTAACAAGAAGTTTAAGTCCTTGTTTAAGAAGTATTTTTCAATTTTGCCCAAGTACCTCAACTACTATTTAAAGGTCCTTGAATTAGTATTATTGCCAGACAATAAAACACCAAATATTCAAAAATACACCACTATTGCTAATGTTGTAGCTAATGATTTTAACTAGAATATTCATCTAATTTTGTGAAGCACAAGCCCGAAAAACCATCCAATAATAAATAGAAGATTACGTCAAATCAAACTTCAATTTTTAAGTTCTTTATTCCAACTATCTAAAAAACGTCCAATAACAATATCATTTTTTTTTAGAAATTTGGCTAAAGATATAAGATAGAGTTTCATAAGTTCATTATAGAATTATTATTCATCTTAAGAAGATATTGGACATTGTCATATAATGTGAATTCTCGCTTAAAAATGAACAAAGCACCCGGTTATAGAAGATAAATAGAAAATGTAACAACAATATTTTACTAAGTCTAATAGAATCTTAAATAAAATCTAAATAATTCTTAACAACTTTAATCAAAATTTAACCAATTTAAAAGAAATTTAAAAGAAATTACAAAAGAAACATAAAAAAGTCATACATTAATTTTAAAACAAATAATAAAAAAATTCTAAAGAAATATAAAAATAAAATACTTAAAGAAATAAAAATAATATTAGAAAAATAAAAATAAATAAATAATTTAAAATAAATAATAAAGAATTTAAAGAAATAATAAAAATAAAATTCCTAAATAAATCCAATATAAATCCTAGATGAATCCTAAAAAAATCTTAATCAAATCTTAACCAAATCTTAATAAAATTTTAATCAAATCTTAATGAAACACTAATTAAATTCTAACCAATTTCTAATCAAATCCTAAATAATCTTTAAAAAATCCTAAATAAATATTAATCAATTACTATAGTTATTTTAAAACTTCAATAAATATTAATTAAATTTTTAATCTTGATTGAATTTCATTCAAATTTCAATCTACATATAACTAACAAGCATACAAAATTTGAGAAGAATCAAACTCAATAATTGAAAAAAAGCTCTTGAAACCTCTCGTATGTTTGCTACTTCCCTTTTCTATCTTGAATATTGATCTTTCAACAGTGATTTTTTTTTTGAACCATTCAATTGCTTTAAAATTTTATTTATGTATATATTTATAAGTCTAAATATCTTTTATCAATTTTTACTTCAATCAAACTGGCAAATGTTGTAAGATCACAAAAACCCTTATTGAGCCTAAATTTCAATTATCCGAGACCATAACCTATAAAAACTCTCACAACCTTCAATCTAATTGTTTGATTGACATTAAATTTCTCACACACATTCAAAACAAGTATAAAGAAGACCTAACAAGTTTTCTACTTGTAAATATTTTACAACACTCAAAAAATCATCAAAATCTAAATCCATTGAGTATATCTCTCACTTTGAAAAGCCCTCATAACCTCAATATGCCTTCAAATTACATGAA